CGTGAGGCTGCAGAGATTTATATTCACAGCTCCTAAGCACCAGTGCTCGTTCAGAGGCTGTATTATTCTAGCCCTTTTTATTCACTCACCTTCTAAAGATGTAGTGTAAATATTTATCTTCCCTCCAGCCCATCCATGCTGCCCAGGACCCAGCGCTGTTAAACACTCTTATCACCTCATCGGTCTTATCTCCTGTGATCCCTGCCAACATTTGGAGTCTGTCAATGGGAACGAGTGTGCACCTTAAAAGGTGCCGCAAATGCGCAGAAAGAAGAGGCGACCTGGGGGAAAGAATACCTTAAAATAAAGAGTGCATGTGCTATCCCTCAAAAGGGAGAGCTTAGTGTGTGTGTTTTCTGCTGTGCTTTTCATGCCCACGGTGTCTGCGCTTGGAGAAGCGATTGGAGGCACAGAGATGAGGTCTCGGTGTGGACCAAGCGCTCGAGGAGGTACGGGGGTCCTGTGCAGACCCTCGCAGCGGGTCTGGAGGGCTGTCCAGCCCCAGCTTCGCCACCGATACGGGGTCTAGCTGGGACAAAGTTCACCCAGGTAACCAGCATGGTTTTGGTTTTCTTCTTTCTGTACTTGTGCTAAATAAAACATGTGCGATGGAGAGAGGGACGCTGTCTCCCTTCGGGCCCTGCTCGCAGAGTTTTCGGTACGCAGCATGGAGAGCAAGTGAGGCAGGTCTGGAAGATCAGTGTTTATATCACGGTGTTCTAAAAACAGTCCCGTGAAACCAGCACAGTGGAACACTGGCACGTCAAGCTCTGCTTGCCATGAGGGGGCAGTGGGAATCATGTTTTATAGCGTGTGCAGCATCTCAGCAGGGCTCAGCCATGCCGTTTCCGTGACTCTGCCCCTCAGTCCAAACACCTTGTGTTAGGTTAAGCAGGGTACAGAAATTCCCAAGGAAGGAACATGGGATGGCAACACCGATATAATCCTATCACTTCTAAGACAAAATTGACGTGCAGTAGCCGTTGTACCACTTAATGGATAAGACAGTTGGTCCATCTGCGCTCAGCCCGTCTTCTCTCATTTCTCTTGCTTAAATTTCTCAGGAGCAGAACAAAATCCTGTTATCCAATAAGTTACCCACTGGTAGTTGGATTTTCATTGAATGACATCTGCCGCAGACCATGGGTGTAGGAGGTACAAGTGATTTCATAGCATGTTTATTTTGATGAATCTGGTAGACATGGACATTTGGTTTTATTTTCGGAGTATTTGGAAACGCTCTCATCTCCCTTGAAGGCCGTGCAGCTCGGCTGTCATCCTGCCGTGTCCAGATGTGCCAGGAGGCTGCAAAAGTCACCAGGGACGTCACACAGTGTTAGGAGGCAAGAGGAAGGCTTGGAATCAGTCTGTTGTTGGTTGGTAACTTGGGGGGGGGGCGGACTGAGCACTCCTACATTTGAGTGTAATGGTCTTTCCTTCCTTTCTGGTCATCTTCTCTCAGCCTGTATGGGTTCTGCCATTTCCACAACCTTTTTTTTGTAGACAGGGTATTGCTAAAATGGCTCTGGGACTGGTGCCTGCCAGTGCTTTGCAAGCCGAAAGCAAAGCTGTACAGAAGCACCACGTATTGCTGCTTTGAGCCTGGCCTTTTCCCCCTCTCGTGCTGAAGCTCACTGAATCAGAGCACTGATTGCCTCCTTTTTAACCTGTCGCATTGACATTATTCCAGCTGACGCGTGATGTTGAAAGGGCATTTCTGAGAGGCATCCTGGCATAGAGCAGAGCTGGGCCTTGGCCCCGGAGCTGCCCGTCTCTTCTGTGCTTCCTGACACCAGCTCCCCTACTGAACACCTTCTCTTTGTGCTCCTCTTGTGTTACAGAAGCTCCTATTGGGGGGAAAAAAAAAAAGTCTCTATTATCTTTTAACATGCCTTAGCACAGACGTGATAACGCACTGTGATTACCTAACTTTCCATGGGCACAGTTTGGAAATAACTAGCTACAGTATTCAGGTTTTTTACATTACAGATTTATCAAATGATTGGTTTCTATGTGTATCAATAGACTCTGGGTCTTGTAGTACTTACAGCTCTGCATGATTTACGTATCTGTAATCGGAAACCAAAATTGGAGAGAGAAGAATTAAACAATCATGACAAACATCCAACTCGGTGCCTTGTATAAAAGAGACCAGCAGAAATCCTGACGGGTTTCAGTGGAGAAGAATTAGCTGCCCTTGCCTGCAAGCCAGGTGAGCGAAATGGTCCATCCGATCACCACGGGCCCCTCTGCGTTCCTCCCGGCTGCGGAGGACGCGCTCGGGGACGCCCCGCTCCTGGCTGGTGCCCGCGATCCCGGGCTGGGCCGTGACGCTTGCCGCTGGCGCAGCGGGGCGAGCGCAGGGGCTGCAGCAGGGTTGTCCCTGCCCGCTCGTCGTTTGGGCTCATTTGTCCCGACAGTGGCTGCAATTCATCTTAAAAACCACTTCTGCGCGTCCTGTGCCGTTGTAAAACAGCCATTTCCAGCACCTGGTAGGCGATATTCATCTCACGTAATTTCCACAGAGGGGACTGTAATCCCCGCTTTCACGGCCCGTCTTTAATTAGTTTCCAGGTGTGACCATTTTGCGCTGAAGGCTCCGTGTTTTCATACCTGGAGCCAAGCACTCTGCGCAGAGCAGCCGGGCACGTCGGGCTGCGATTAGCCCCGGTGCTCCAAAAAGCCAAATCAAAGAGGGATTGAGATCAGCGGCTTCCCGAGGGCATTTCAAGGCCCTTAGTGAGTGACCACACTAGAGCTTTTTCCATTTACCTGGATTAAAATTTGTCACAGAGAAAATGCAAGCAAATAGCATAGCATGTGAAAAGTATAACAAATAGCATTTGGCCGGCCGTCAGGCTCAAAGGGAAAAAAAAAAAATCCACAGCAAAAATAAAGTGTAAACAATGTTTGCATAACATTGGATTAATAGTTCTTTTTAAAAACCGCACTGGGATTAAAGAGACACATTTTGTATGCCAGGACTTGCGCTCTCCTCTTAGCCCAATAAATGCCAGAAAGTACATCTAAGAGAAATAAAAAGCCTCGTTAGCCCAAAGCCTGCTGCTGAGGCAGCAGTGCTTTACACAGCCCTCTGGAAGAGGAGCAAATGGCTGTAGCATCCCTGGAGCAGTCCGGTGCGTTTTGTAAGGAGTTTTGCAGCGAAGTGCTCCCATGGGAAGGGGTTTCTGCTGCACCTCTCCGATCCCATTCGCCTGCGGGTTTTGCCAGCTGCCATTTCGGAGGCAGCGAGGCGGCGGGGAGCTGGCTCCCCATCCCCCTGCACACACACGACCTGCACATTTGAAAGCCTGCCTTTCCAATAACTCATTCGGAGCGCTCCCACCTCTTCTTCCCCAGCCCTGCTCCGTATTTTGCTGAAGTCAGTGCCGGCCCTGTCACTCCGGCGAGCAGGCACGTGCTTAGGGACTGCCCGGGGGCTCTGGCTCGCGTGGGTTACCTTATTAGTGTGGAATAATCAATGGATGGAATAATCAATGGATGCCATCCACGATTCCTTCAGTTGTTTGGTTTGCAGTGTCTTCTAGTGACACCCATTTGCATTACGCTCCCCGCAATTTGGGCAGAAGTAAGCCTCTGAAAACGAGGCACCTCCAAATGCTGGTGTGAGTGCCACGAATGGGGGCGTAGCGGCACGTGGAAGGAAAAAATCTCACCCCTCACGTTTTCCCATGTGAAAGGGCTGTTTAGGCACCAGATGCCGGTTACGTCTGGCTTTTCTCTTTTATCCCTTTGCTCCTGTGGTTGTGTTGGTGCGGTGTCCCAGAGCAAAGCGTGGCACCTCCCGCCCTGAGACACAAGTCATTCTTAGCTGAACAGGGTTAATATCAGACAGAATAACGGGCTGGGAAACCAGAAGTCTTGGGTGGGATTTCCACCTGGTTTTTTGTTCTTCTTTTCCCTTTCGCCTGCCCCAGCATCCACGGCAGGCTGTAGAATTTGCACCTTAATCCCATGGATGATGGTAATTAAAAACTTAAGTCTCCATAAACAGATACAAATAAAGTAAGGAGGCAAAGAACTGAATGAGACGCTAATCCTGGTGGGGTAGTGAAAGCAAAGGGGCCAGTAATTCTTTCCTTCTGTTACTTCACCTGTTGTTGGGTTTGCACTGCTGGACGTGCCGCGCGAGCCCCGACCGCTCACCGGCAAAGCCCTGCCCATGCCTGCCAACCCTGGGGAGGGACACGGCTCCCGACCCATTGCAGCTGAGGCAGTGGCGTGCGTGTTGGCTTGAAGAGGGAGCTGTGTGCCAACGTCTTCAGGTCGTGCAGTTTGCTTCGCCCTCGGGCTGCAAGTGTTTCACAAGGATGAGGTCGGCAACCGGCCCTCAGTCCTGAGTGCCATGCACGGCCCTTTCCTCGCCCTCGCATGGCGAGGACACCAGCAGCCCAACAGAACTTACTTGGGCTTTGGGTCCACCTTTGGCCAGGCCTGAATTATGAAGAGCAGGGAGCTAAGATTTATTCAGGTGGATGAAAAGTTGTTTGGTTTTGGGTTTGTTTTTTTTTTTTTTGCCGTCTGTGCTCTCTTGTGCTGGAAGAGTGCAGCGCACTGAGCTGTGCCAGCGTCCCCGTGCTTTACCCTTCTCTCGAGTAGCTGGCCAAGGCTGGGCTTGCACAGAAGCATCTTGCACTAAAGCATCAGGATTAGCGAGGGTCCCAAAGCAAGGCCGTAGGATTGAAATCCTTCATTTTTATGGGCTGGAAGTGGTAATGCTATGAACTGAATTACGCTTGTGCCGTGATGTGATCCACGCACTCTTGTGGGTGGATGGATATTGATTATATCCCTCAATATGGATTGATGGTGGATGATGATTCAAAGTCTAACTGCCAGGTAGCTGGGTGTCCTAGGCTGTTTATCTAGTCAATTAAAATACTGCTGTGATTCAGTTTATTTATTTAAAGCTGGGATTTACTTGTATCCCCATGACATTACGTATCCCTCTAAAATCAAGTCTCCTCTCTCTTTTTCAGGACGGGGAAGGCCAGACTGCACTTCATTATGGTAAGCTGCCTTTCAGCTTGGTTCTTCCCTCTTAACAGGATGGATTTGCAGCTGGAGTAAACGGTCTACATAGAGAAAGCAAATTCCAGCAGACAGATGAGCAGGGAAGCTGGATTTGATTAACCAGTGGCTACCTCCACCAGCAAATCCCAGCATGTTATGAACAGGAGCCCTGGGAGAAGCAGCGAGGAAGACTGCTGTCCTCCCTTGGTTCTCCTCTACAAATTTCACCTTAAAGCCTTCTTTTTCCCCCAGTTAACGATGCACTTCCCGCAGAGTTTTTCCTGTGCGCCCACGTGTCTGCGGGATGCAGTTGTGCTACCTCCAGACCCAGGAGCAGCTCTGGTTAGGGGATGCTGAGTCCTTTATCCATGGAGGGGGGTTGAGAGGAGGGTCTGCACCAGCTTTAACAGGTTTTGGAGGTGAGGGGAAGGGGACAAGCGAGATGGTCTTCACCTCCGCATGTCCTGGTGACAGACCTGTTGGGTCGCAGCTGAGACAGCAGCAGCTTCTCTACTACCAAAACCAACAGAGCGAAGTTAGTTTGTGTCCCTCCTACAATTACATGCTAACTAGATATGATCTTGTAACAACCCTTTTAATTGAAAGATTGTTCTGTCTCCAAATGAGAAAAGTAGAGACTGAAGTGACGCATGCGGTGTGCATGATGTGTGGGGAATAGGAAAAAAGTATCGATTTAATCTACATCATCATTTTTTCCAAAATTAAGACATACCGGTTCTTATTTGATACTCTCTCTCGATGGCTGTCAGTGTGTAATTAAGAGCACACTTGTCATTCTGAAGTGTTTGTGTCTTTTTCTCTCTTTCTGATCTCTCCACAAGGACATTAGCAAGATGGCAAAATTGCTTTGCAGCCCATCAGTCCAAGGCACAGCATTTGGATCTGGATCTAAAGTACCAGATTCCAGGGCCCCTGAACTGAGACTGTAATTACTATAATGTATGATTTCTCCCCGTTGTCATCTTTCCTGTAGGATGCTTTATTTTTCAAATTCTTATCCTTCTGACTGAAGTAGCATATCTGTTGCTTAGTGCTGCAGTGTCTGCAGAGCCACAGCACTTAGTGCCACGTTGCCTCTTTCTCTGCCCTGCTTTTTCCACATTTTGGGCTTTCTCTCTCCTGGGGAGATGCTCACCCCTGCTCCCCGCTCCGGCACCGACATCCACCTACTCAGGGGTGCACACTGGATTATAGGAGGTCGTGCAAAAGCCTGGCATGTGTGTAACTTCAAGCAAGTTCAGTATGTGAAGGTAGAGGGTGGATGCATCACCTCCGTGTAAATTATGTGCAGGTGGATCCCTCTGGCTGGTGGCTGCTTGCTTAACACAAGCAGACAAACATAACTGATTTAATTAACGTTACTTCAGGAGCGGTTTCTCTGATCCACCCTGCCAGCTCAGATGTTTCAATAACGACAGTTTACCAGGGGTTTTTGTCCCCAAATGTTTTAAGTGTTAAAATTGTTTCTTCCCCTCCCTGCACATCATCTTTGGGGAAGCCTCTCTGGGTCGGGGGCACACAGGTCCGGTGTGCCTGCGGGTGCCCCGCTGTCCCGGCCCGACCAGCGCCGCGCCCAGGCTGAACTCATTCCCTCGCTTAGCTGATCTGGCCTTAAATCACCCCGATCTTGAAAACAGCATGTTAAAGGAGGGAATGGTTTTGATTCAAGTGGCTAGTGGCCTGAAACTAGAAAATCTCCCGCTACCTCCCCGGTAAGCACTTCGTAACCAAGCTGTTCGTTGAAGCGGCGAGGCACGAGAGCTCGTGTGAAAACCGTCTCTGGCGGTGCTGAGCAGAGCAGTGCCTTTACAAGGCTTTCTCTTTTGTCAGGGGCTGTCCAGGGAAGGGTTAAATCCCCTCAGCAAGGCCAGCAAGGCAGCCACTGCTTTTAGGGTGTCTCCATCCCTTTTTATGAGCCGGGGTGGCCTGACAGCTGTCCTTGTGGTGACAGCTCTCCTGATTACAGCCGGTGTCAAACTGCATCCTGCTGCGGGTTATAAATCCTGCCTCCTTCCGACGGGCGCCGACCCCGGGTTTAATCGGAGGTTAAGTGGGGGCCAGCTGGCAGCACGGCCCGCAGGCACCGGCGCACGGCGGGCACCCGTCGGCGGTGCCACGGAGGGGGGGTACGAGCACGGCCTCACCCCTAAACGGCCCGTTCGTCTTCGGCTCCTCTCCATCCATCCATCCATCCATCCATCCACCCACCCACCCACCCACCCGCCGGGAATACTGAAATCATTGCCACTGCCTCTCCCAGAGGAAATCAAGGCTTCTCGGAGCACTGGTGGCCACGTGGCCAGGGAGTGGGCAGGCTCTGTATCCTCATGGGCGCTCCGGCTTCCCTGCAAAGCACCATCTGTTCGGCTCTTTCTGCGCCGTGGCAGGGCAGTGGGAGGGGATGCTGGAGGGAAAATAAATAATAAAAATAAAATTAAAAAAAAAAATAAAATAAAAAAAAAAAAAAGGAAATTCATCATCTGAACCCTGAGGATTAATGGAGTCGGAAGGCGAACTGCGCTGAATGGAAATTCATCTTCACCCGTGCCAGTGTCAGGGCTGCCACTCCGGCCCTTGACAAATCGAGGGTCCCCGGGTGCGATAAATCCAGCAGCTGTGCTCGTCCCCGGGGACGCCCCCGGCCCGCCCCGGGACGCGGGCTGTGCCCGCCAGCGGCGCCGGGCGAGGGAGTCACCAGCTCCCCGTCCCCAGGAGCTGCCACCGCAGCTCCCGTGGCACCCCGGGAAGTGTGATTGCTGCAGGGGTGCTGTGCCCTCACCCCGGGACGCGCCCCCAGCCCTTCAGCTCGGCCTCGCCACACCCCCGCCTCCTTCCTCACCAGCCCCTTCCCCCTTTTTCCCCCCTTTTTTTTTTTATCTTTTTCTGTACAAGCTCCAACCACCCGTCGAATTTATTTTAATTAAACATTGCTGCTTGTCCCTTTGGGTCAGTAGAAAACTGCAGAGTAATGCAAAAGACACTAATTACTACATTTAACGGCAAAAAAAAGGAGTTTGTCGGTTACGTTGTAAAAGCGCCTGAAATATAATTAAAACCAATTGCTACCAGTGCGAGAGGAGCCTGCCGGCTTCCCCGTCTCATAAGGCAGATGGGGGCTGGGGCAGTTTTTGGCTTCACTAGGATCTGCATTGCATGGATTTACGGGAAAATCCAGCGACTGGGACTTCTGCTGGTATCAGCCAAGCTCAGCTCTTCAGAGTTAAGAGTTTTCCTGGGTTTTCCTGGTTCTGTTTTTTTGTTTTTTTTTTTTTTTCAACATCCTTAGTCAAGGTTGGAGGTGGGGAGCTGAAAGCTGCCAGGCTGCTACGTCCTCGGGACAGAGCTCAGGTCAAACTTGGTTCTGTCTTGGCAGAGCAAATCGGGGTTGAAAAAGCAGTTGCTGGCGGAGGTGCGAGTTAGAAGGAGCGGCGGTGGGCTGTTACCGGCTGTCCACCGGCACGGGCACGGCTCCCCGGAGCTGATGCTCAGGGAAGGGCTGGCCAGCAGCTAAAACCCATCCGTATTTTCTGCAAGGAGAAATGATGGGTGAAAGCCAGGCGTGGGGCAGTACCGACGATGTGCTGCCTGTGGAGCCCCGGGAGGTTTAGGGGGCAGGTGAGGGGCAGGGGTTTATAAATACGCTATAAATGATAAACACGTTATAAATCCTGGGTACGAAAGCAGGCAGGGCAGGCTTTCCCAGGCGGCACTTTGGGGCTCTGTGGGGCTGCTGGGGCCCTTCCTGGGGTCTGGCCTTCAGTCTTGGCTGCGAAGGAGCATTGGCTGTGACTCCATGGCCGGGCCGTGGGCTCTGGGGTGACGGTCGCACCGGTAACACGCCCTCGGGACTTCTGGCTTTCGCTCTGCCTTCCCTCTTGCCTTCCCGCTACTAAATCCAAAGGCAAGTAATACATTGAGTACCAAACGCTGCCCCGAAAGATGCTCTGCTCCGCCTGGCCAGCTGCTGACGCGGCATTTCCCACCTCTGGCCCACGCAGGGGAAGTCGCCAGCTCCAGCCGCCGCTCCAGAAGCGCCCGCCGCCGCCGCCTCGGGTGGGGACCCCCGCACTAACCCTTCCTTTTCTCCCTCCAGCTGCCGCCTGCGAGTTTTTAGACATCGTGGAGCTGCTGCTGAAGTCGGGAGCCGACCCCAGGCTCCGGGACCAGGAGGGCTGCCTGCCGGAGGAGGTGACAGACTGTAAAGCCATCACTTGGGCTCTGCAGCAGCACACCGCTGGCAAGGCCTAACCCCATGGAGACGCGGCGCAATAACCCCCCTTCTCTTCCCCCACGGCCCTCCGAAACGCCTGGGCAGGGGCTCGAAGGGGAGCTTTTAGGGCACAGGGTCTGGGTGGGCCCTCCAGCACGAGGGCTGGCTGGCCAGGCACGTGTCCTGGGCAGGATGGGATCAGGGTCTATGCATGCTCTGACATTTATCAGTATTTGGGGCGGGGAGGGAGCAAGGGAGGGGAGAGAGGGCCTGGAGAAGGCCCCAGGTGTCGTTTTAATCTATTAAACACGAGTATTGCATCGGATGTCTCACCAGAGCAGCCTGTGCTGACTGGTTGCCTCCTCTATGGGGAGGGGAGGGCGGCTGGGCCAGGTGAGATGCTCCTCTCTCCCGTTCCGGTTAAGTTTTGTTTTCTTTTTTTTTTTTTTTTTCCCTGGGTCCAGACAAAATACTCTAAATAAAAGCAAAGCACAGCGTTGGGACGGAGCCTCGGCGTGTTTGTCTTGCAGGGAATTACTTGATTCCCTGGCAGCAGTAAGGACGGGAGGCAGCTCAGCGCCGTCGTCGAGCCCCTTGGAAAGCTTTGCTCAAGCTCTCCTCCTGGGGAGAGACGGCTGCAAACGGCAGCGGGGTCCTACAGCTGTCTGTCCATCCCTCTAGTTCTCAACTACGTAAGACGAAAGTGCTTGGTGGCGAACCAACTTCTCCAGGCTGACAGGACTCTTACTTTGCTGAAACAAACGGTGTTCAAAACCCGACTTGTGCTTCGGGCTGACTCCTGGCTGGGAGGGAGGCTGCTGCCTGCAATCCCTGCGCTGGGTGTACGCGTGCCGCTCGCTTTTCCCAGGGCACAAGGAGATTTACAGCCTGGGGGGGAGCGTTGGAAATGTCCAGCGAGTCCTTTCTGCAGCCCATCCAGCCTCAGGAAAAAGAAGTGGGAGCCTTCCCTCCGCTAAGGACTGGCTGGGCAGGAGGCACCGGTGGGGTTTTGGCCCCTCACAGCAGCTCCCAGCTCCTGCCAGCTCTCGCTGATGCCACCCAAGTTCGCAGCGCTGGCGTGAACGCGAGCGCGAGGCAGCGGGGCAGGCTCCGTGGTGGGGATGAAATGGCTTGGGCAAATGAACAGGCCCTTACATTGATCACATAAACTTATTTTCCATTAACTTAATATCGGAGGGGTCTTGCAGGGCGGGGAGCTACGGTGGTGGTCCCTCTGCTTTTGGGAGAAAACAAAAAAAAACAAAACAAAACCAAAACAAAACCAAAAACAAAAACAAACCAAAACCAAAACAAAACAAAACTACCCTTCGGGGCTTTTTCTGAAATCAGTACGAAACCTGAGCTTTGGGATGCTCCGCACGGAGCTGCTCCGCTGGCTCCGGGATGGAGACGTGGTGGCATCAAGGTTAGGGACAAGTGAGGCCACCCTTGAGCAGCGCCGTAATGCACAGCCACTGCCCGGCGTGATGGACACACTGGGTAATAAAAGAAAAATAAAAATCAGCTCTTAAAGCAGGGTTGGAAAGCAGCAGCAGCCGCGCTGCCCGTGCTTTCAGAGAGCACGTTTGCGGGGCTGAGCGCTCAGCCTTGGAGATGTTTATAGCACTTTAGGTCTGTTTGTGAGGTTGGAGCCTTTCCAAAAAAAAAAAAAAAAAAAAGAAAAAGCGAAAAAGCAGGGAGGGGGGTGGGGAGAAAAAAAAAAAAAAAAAGAGAAAGACATATATTATTGTTTATAATCTGCTTTATTCAGCCAAACCTTTCCCCAGCAGCCTTGCAGATTGCTGCTTAAATCCCTCGGTGCCTTTAACTACCGATACAGAAAGTGGTTAATGTGCATTCGCCCTAAGCTTGGCATCTACTCCAGGAAATCACTTTAATTGAGAAGCATTAAATGTTAAAATGATTAAAATATAGAAAGCCAACGCACCGGTGCCCGTGGAGGGGCTCGGACCCCCCCCCGCCATGGCTCTTCCACCTCACCTGTGCCCGCTGAGCGCTGCGGTGGTGCCGCCGGGTGACGGGGGCGGCAGGAACGCTGCGGGCGTCTTGGGGGTGTCACACGGCGGGGGTGGAGATGCCCACCCCAAACCCACCCACCTCTCCGTGCCCGCAAAAAAAGCCGGGGCGCGATGGCCGGTGTCACTTGCCCCATCCAAGGATGCCGGCTCCTCCATCCGGACAAACCCCAGGGGATCCCGACCGCAAGCAGCCGACGGTGCTGGAGCAGGCGATGCCGATGTTGGTCGCTGCCCTCCCGTTGAGGAAGGGGAAAAAAAAAAAAAAAAAAAAAAAAATCCCCAAGACAGCAGCTGCTAAAGAGCATCCCGAGTTTATTTGACATCGCTTTCCCTCGAGGCGAGGGGGTGACCGTACACATCTCATGCCAACGCACAGGAGGCAGGGTACAAAAGCAACGCTCCGGGCCCAAATTCAGGGGGACTGGGGGCGAGGGGGGGCGGTCCTTTCTCCCCAAAGACACGGCAATAAATAAGGTTTTATTCTTTGAAATTTATTTTATTTTTGTTGGGTTTTATTTTTTTTTTTTCCCTCCAGGAAACAAGACTCTCACTTTCTGGAACTGTACAAAATTTACACAGCGAGGGGAGGGGGCATTTGGCTTTGTCAAAGAAGGGGGATGGAGAGCAGCGGGCACGGCTCCCCCCCCCGTCCCCCTCCCCACCAGCCGCCCGCAGCGCCCAGCGAGGCCGGGGGCTTGGCACAAAGCAGCACCCAAGGCTGGGGGGGGGTGGGGAGGGGAGACACATGGGTGCAGCTGGGGCAACCCCTGCAGCACCAGCCCTCCCGGCTGAGGGGGCAAGGAGGGACAGGGACATACCAGTGATGTGCTTTCTCGTGTGGCATTTTTTTTTTTATTATTTTTTTCTTATTCTTTTTTTTCCCCCCTTTGCTTTCGGAGCACCCCCCCCCCCCCCAGCCCCGCCTCTGGCAGCAGCCGGCTAACCAGATCGGCCACCAGCCCTCCCTGAAGGGCACCTGGGATCATCAGCATCACCCCAGAGCCAGGGGGAGGATGGCGGGGACCCCACAGCCAGGGCATCCCCGTGGGGCCGGGGCAGAGCCAGGAACCCCGGGCAGGGAGCGTGGAGCTGGATTTGATCCCTCGGGCCAGATGCCTCCAGCCTGGCGAGGGCTGGGCCGGGCCGGCAAGTGGACAGGTGGCCACCACAAGCCCAGGGATGTGGGTTTTGAGAAAGGGGCCGGTGCTGGGCGAGCCCAGCCAGGAACAGACCCCATGGGGCTCATGGGTCCTCCCCGGCTGCCTGCACCCACCCTTGGGTCCATCAGCCCCACGGCACCAGAGGGGGTGGGTGGCTGATGCCGGGATGGGGGAGAGTCTCACACCCAAACCCCTCTGCTGCCCACCGTGCGGGTGCTTCTGCAGTTGATGGAATGCCCTTTTTCCCTTCTTTTGGGGAGATATTTTTTTGCAATACCCTCAGAGCAAACATCACCCACCCTTCCCCAGGGTGGGAAAGCTGTCCGTGTGCCAGCTCCGAGCATCCCCACCGGCCCCACCACAGCCCAGCTTGGCCCTCAGGCGTCTCAGGCTGCAGGCTTTTTTTCCATTTTTCTTTTTTTTTTTTTTTTGTTCCTTTTTCAATTCCTCGCCACCGCCTAACCAAGGTAAAAACCCGCAGTGATGCGCTGTAAGCGCTCCTGCACGCCCGGGGATAAACCACAGCCCCGCAGCCGCCGCACGACAGCCCCGCTCCCACCCCACCCGGAGCGGGCAGCGGGGCAACGGTCCCCGGCCTCCCTAAAATAAACCCTTCTACAATATAGACTTTTCTTTCCGCTGAGGCTCTGGGCAGCGCCGAGTCGCGTTTCAACTCCGTATCGAAAAATAACTCTTGAAAATAGCAGCGGTGCTCGGCCGGAGGGGTGCGGGGCTGGCGCGGGCGCCGGGACGGGCTCTGCCATCCCTGATTGTCCTTCCCCCCCCCCACCCCCCCGCCGCCGCCGTCGCGCATCCCGCCGTGCCCCTCGTCCCATGTGCCGACACCTCTCTTGTGCTTACACCCAAAGGCATCCGTGCGCCCCCCCCGCCCCACGCACAGCCGCTCCCCGGCCTTCACCCGATGCTGTGCCCCCCCTTTCCCCCCCCACTCCCCGTCCCCATCCCCGCCGTCTCCAGCCCTCCGGAGCCGATTCCCGTGGGAAATCCTGGAAAGGTCAACCACCGGCGGGTGCCCTCGGTGCTGCGCTTGTGGGCTTTTTTTTTGAGGGGGGGGGGGGGGGGTGGGGGGTTGGTGAGGGGGGGAGCGAGGGGGGCCGGGGGGGGGAGAGGGGGGCGAGCGGCGCTTAGAAAGGGGGGTGATCCATGTCGTCCAGCCAGGAGGCCGGGCTGGTGGGAAAGTCTGGGTACCCGACGCTGCTCCCCGTGGAGATGTCGGAGGTGGGGCCCCCCCCGGCCATGGCCCGCAGCGTCTGACTCACCCCCTGCGCCCCGTGGGCCACCAGCCCCAGGCTGCCGTCCACGGCGTAGTCCAGCCCGTTGAGCAAGGGCGGGTGGGACGGCAGGGAGGAGATGGAGGACGGCGACTGGGGGAGGCCGTAGGGACTGCCGTCCCGCAAGTCCTGGTACGACTGTCCCGTCCCCTCCATGGAGAAGCTGCCGTTCAGCAACTGTCCGCCCGCCACGTCCCCCACGGGGCCGTAGACCCTGTTGGTGTGGCCGAGCTCGGAGAGGATCTGGTCTTCTGCCGGGGAGAGGAGGGAGAGCAGAGGCGGGGGGTCAGCACAGGGGGGACCCCCGCGTTCCCCCCGCCCCGTGCCGGCGCCCCGCTCACCGCGGAAGCTGAGCTCGCTGTCGCTGACGCCGCAGTCCTCGGCCGAGCTCTCCTTCTCCAGCTTGCTGCCCCCGCGGCTCCGCTTGACGCTTTTGTAGAACTGGCCCCAGCGATGCCGCCCCGCGTCCTTCTTCAGCCGCTTCTCCTTGGCCCGGCGGTTCTGGAACCACACCTGGGGAGGAACGAGGACACCGATGGCACCCTGGCACCCCTGCACGCCAGCACCTCTGCAACCCGGCGTACCGGTGCCCATGCAAGCCGGCGCCCTGGCACCCCTACACCCCAGCACCCCTGCAACCCGACATGCCAGCACCAGTGCAAACCAGTGGCCCAGCACTCCTGCCACCCAGCATGCCAGCACCTGTGCAGCCCAGCTCCCACACGTCCATGCAAACCAGCAACTCTGCAACCCTGAACACCAGCACCCCTGCATCCCAGCACCCACGTACTCCTGTAGCCCAGCTCCCAGGCACCCATGCCACCCCTGCGTCCCCTGAAGCCTGGCACCCCTGAAACCCAGCACCCCAGCGGGACCCCTGTGTGTCCCCCCCCTCTTCGCTAGGGGCAGGGTGGAGAGGGGCATCCCCACGGCCTCACCTGCACCACCCTCATGTCAAGCCCCGTCTCAGAGGAGAGCTGCTCCCGCACGTGCCGGGCGGGTTTGGGGGAGTTTTTGTAGGCGTTCTTCAGCGTCTCCAGCTGCTTGGCCGTGATGGTGGTCCGGGGCCGCTTAGCGCCCGCCTCGGAGTCATCTGCAAGCGAAGGAGCCGGTACCAACCCCGACCACAGCAGCGCGAGCAACCCCAAAACCACCAGCCCGCGTCGCTGGGGAAAAAAAAAAAAAAAAAATCCCCCAAACCAGCAACCCCCAAAGCCCGCAGCGACCCCCCCCCTCCCGCAGGTACGGCGGCGGTGACGTGCCCCATGGCCACCCCGCGGTGGGACGCCCTGCCTCGCAGCCCCTTGGGGGTCCCTACCGTTCTGCTTGGCGGTCTCGTAGTCCTCCTTGCAGACCAGCCGCCCGTCCTCCATCAGGTAGAACTCGTCGCCGGTGGCCAGCTGCCGGCTGCAGATGATGCAGGCGAAGCAGTGGAGGTGGTAGACGAAATCCTGGGCTTTGCGGACCACCTGGGTGGGGGGGATGCCCTGCTGGCACGCCGTGCATTTGGTCCCGAAACGCCTGCAAGGAGAAGCGGGCAACCCTGAGCCCCTTCCACCCACCCCCCACCCCGTGAGGTGGCCTTCCACCGGAGATGGGGTGTGGTCCAGGAGACAGGGCAGAGTTTAAACCAGCAATCAACCTAATTATGCATGACACTTCACACGGCAGGGGTTTATCTTCTTCAGCCTGAAAGACCGGCCTAATGGAGCTGAGGAAGGTTGGATTTTAATGGTTCTTTTAACTAATGCTTATAGGCTGCCTGATTTTCCGCTGCAAGGACAGTACATATTTCATCCACATTAATACCAAATAAATTAATTACACCACCCCGCTAGCATGATGAATCCCAGATTAATGCAGAATGATGGGGCTCTTACACCGTAATGACAGCCCCACGGCTGCATTGGGTGTGCTGGCTCGGGGGAGACGCGGGCCCACGCAAGCCCACAGCGCGGCTGCAAGGAGCGTGCAAGAAAGTGTGTGCAAGGAGCATGCACGAAGCGTGGAAGCAGCATGCGAGGAGCCTGCGAGGGTGGGACAGGAAACGTGGAAGGAGCGTGCAAGAATGGTGCGAGGAGCGTGCGAGGAGCACGCGTCCCATCCAGCAGCCCACCGTGGGTTGCAGGCACTCTGCAGCAGAGAGCCCGGGGTGCCTGTCGCTGTGGGTGCACCCACGAGCTGGATAACACCCGGCTAACACCTGGATAACACTCGGCTAACACCTGGATAACACCCAAAGTAACACCCGCCGTAAACTGAAGTAACAGCAGCGAGGGCGACACATGGCAGCACAGGAGAAGGCCAAAATTAAGTGGATGTTGCCACTGGCGTTTTCGGCGTCAGCCACGTGGGCTTTGTGATCGACACAGGGCAGATCCCCACCTCCCACTCTTACCCCAAGGGCTCTGCTGGGTCTCCCCTGCTCCCCCCAGCACCCCTAAATCCCATCAGTGGGGCGACAGGGCCCCGTGGAGCCATCCTGGCGTTGCAGCAGCAGCCCAGGGCAGCGAAGCTATCAGAATAAATTTGTCCCCTACGCCTCAAACAGACCCCTCTGCTTCAAAGGAGGCAGCCCGGAAAAACACAAGCTTTTTGGCCCCCAGCCCCAAGGCTGCAGGGGCGGGTGGTGGCATCAGGGGGGTGCCACCCCCAGCGCCTCTCACTGCCCCCCCAAGGGCTGAACATCCCCTGATCACACAAAATCACCCCGCAAGCCCCGCGGCTGCCCGTGTCCTCACGCCATCCGGAAAGCCGAGGCACAACCACCAAAGCTGGGTCCCCAAAACTGCCCCCGAATCACGCTGGTGTCACCCAGGGACAGGCGGGGGGCACCGGGCAGGAGTGGCACCGGTGTGATTTCAGCAGCTGCCCGAAGGGGTGTTGGAAGCAGAAGGCGAGGAGAAAAAAACCTGTTTTGTCTCATTTTCTGGGCTTGTATCCTAAAGGGAGAGTCCTCGGATGTCTGCTGGGGAGATCTCAGCTCTCCCGGAGTCAGCTGGGAGGGAGGGAAGGGATGAAGGGATGGGAGGGGGTGATGAAGGGATGGAGGGGATAGAGGGAGGGAGGGGTAGGACAGACAGATGGATGATGGGTTTCTGTGGCTAAGGCTGAGCTGGTGCACACTCTGCAGCCCCCATCCTCCCTCTGTCCATCCACACCCCCCTCACAGAACACCATTAAAGCCATTTTACCCACCCTCCCCAAAATCCCAGGGTGTTTCCACACCACCTGGGGATGCCCAGACCCAGGACAGAGCTGCCTGCGGCCAGGGAGCAAGACCTGGGATTGGGGAAAAGGAAAAGAGGATGAAAAAGAAAAAATGTAGTCTTTTCAGAAGCAGCTCCTGCATTGCAAACCTGCCTCTGAAGTTGGCCTTAAATCCTCGCGTCCTCTGCAGGTTATCTATCCCAAAATCAATGAGCAGTTGAAATAAAGGTGAGGCGAGAGCCCGAGCGAACGCCGAGATGCTATTGATTGGCACCAAATAATCCAGGCAGGACCTCATCTAAGAAAGTCGCTGATCTTTCAACTCTAATTAACATTGATTACCCGCACCTTTTGGGCAACTATTTAAATGACTCGGAGATTAATAGGCTGGAAAATATCAGAAGTGAAGTGTTATTACCCAGGCTGTAGCGGCTGCTTTGACCGTCACACACTCCCCAGCTGGGAAGGAGAAATTCAAGCTGCATTTTTGGCCCTGATGTCTGGGCGGGGGGAGGCATGTAGGAGGCCTGAGAGCCCGGGGATGGGCAGGCAGGGGAAAGTCCTGCCTGGGGATTAGCGGAGGGTGTAATCGCCGTGGGTTGGTTTAGCCAGGCAGCGGGCGGTGGGGGGTGATGGGGAGAGACAGCACAGCCGGGGATGAGCAGGGGACGATGGCGCGGGGAGGTGGCCCCGGTCCCCGAGGTGAGGCAGCTGCTTTTTGGCCGGGCCCCGCCACCTGCACCCGGGCAGCAAAAGGCACCCACAGGCCAGGATCCGGCCCTCTCCCCCGCAGGAGGTGTAAAGCAGCACCCCTGCGATCCCTTGGCCCGGCCACGGTGCAACACCCTCTGCCATCCCTTGGGAAAACTCCCGAGTTTCGCCAGCAGCCCCAGACTAGAGCATCCCTGCTGAAAAGTCCGTTTTTAACGGGAAACGGGTTGTCCCGTCCTGTGGGAGCAGGGGAGCGCTGAGGCTGGGGCATCGCACAGCTCGGAGGCAGCTGCCAGTGAAATCAAATGAGATTTTCACGCTACCGGGAGCAAAAAAAAAAAAAAAAAAAAAAGGATAAAAGATAAAAATGTAAAGAAAAGGCAAAAAGATGAAGGGAAAAGGCATCAGCAAAGCCCGGGCTCGGGCAGGAGCAGGCAGCACTGTCGCTGCCTTCTGTGGGTTTCTCCTGCCCTCTAGCTCCGAGCGGAGCCGAGGCCGCTGCCCAGCAGCTCCCCGTCCCGTGGGGGGTTAAAACCAGCGCAGGGGTGGGATGGGAGCGTCATGGGGATTCGGGGTTTTCAGGAGGCTAAATCCCAACAAACAGCATCCAGCCTGCAGCAGCTGCGAAGCACCGACGTTTCCTTTATTTCCACACCGCCGCCACCACCCCCCCCAACAACAACAACAACAACAACAACAACAAAAATAAATAAAAAGGCCAGATGAAGATTTTTGGAGAAACTACACTTAAAAGTAGGCGGCGTGTCTGCTTTGCGGTGGGGGGAGGCAATGCTTTTTTTGGGGAGGGGGCTGTGCCCCCGGGTGGTACTCACTTGAAGAAGTCCTCCTTGCAGTAGACGCTGCCAGCCCGGGAGAAGCAGCGGTCGGCCAGCTGCATCTGGCAGTCGGCGCACTTGAGGCAGGAGCTGTGCCAGTGCCGGTCCAGGACCTTGAGGATGAACTTGTCCAGGATGTGCTGGTTGCAGCCGGCGCACTGGGGGATCTCTGGGCAAGGTCAGGGGGTGGGGAGGGAAGAGAGATGGGGAGAGGAGCAGTATCAGCCACCGCAGCCCCTTGCCCCCCCCCACCTCGAGGTGCTCCCACCCAGCCGGCGTGGCTCGTGCTGGTGCTTTGCGGGGTGATGAGCTTCGGGAACATCTTCCTTCGCAAACCTTCACCCAAAATCTCTGGGATAGCAAAGCCCACGGCCCCGCCAGGCACATGATGCTTTGCTCTTCTGCACCTCATTTTTCAGGCCGTGCTCCCCGCCTGCCCCCCGCTCCCTCCCCAACAAAGCCCCCCGAGCCAGGACGCGGCTTATTTCTCCCAAAACCACCCCCATCCCCCAAGGGCCAAGGCTGCCAGGGTGACTCAGGGGTTCACCCACAGGGTCCCCACTGTGACCCAGGTTTGTGGGACACCAACTACCTCCACTCCCCCTCCAGAGGTTTTTTTGACATGGGCAACCGTCTCTTCCCCTCCGCTGCTGCCGCATCCCGAGGATCACAAGCCGCCCGTGCCAGACACTTTGCATCCCCCTACGGTCCAAAACCCTTTTGTTCCCCAGGACCCTGATTTTTCACGGGAGGGGAACAGCTCGTTTCCACTCGCTTTCTGTCATCCATCTGGGGAGTTACAGCCCCCTGCCATGGGAAATGGCTGGGAAACGTGGGCTGAAGCAAGGCCGTGCTGGAGCACAGCAGTGGGGCACAGGGGCAGAGCGGCGGTGGCGGGTCCAGCCCCATCCAGTACCCCCCCACAGCACCCAGGCTGTGGGAAGATGCTGGGAGAAGGAGGGCTTTTCCTAAGGCAAGATGTATACCCGACCATCCAGACTCCTACATAATGTCTGCCTATAGATCTGGAGAGCTGGATATTTATCTCTCTCTCTGTCTGCCCATAGTTCAGAATAAACGGGAGGTGCTGTAAAAGTCTGCAGGAGAAGATTGCCCGGTAAAAGCCAGGCACATCGTGCTGACACGCACGCATGAAAGAAGATTGATTTTAGGGGGGAAAAAAAAAAGCAACATGCCCATAGCTGGAGCATAAGAGCAGGAGAGATGTTTATGCATAAGGGCTGCCTCCTTCTCCTGCCGGTGAGCGGCTGGAGACGGGGGGAATTGGGGGGGGTTGATTTTTTTTTTTTTTACTCTGCTACAAGCACTGGGGAGGCTTAGGAGGGACTCTGCTTTCCCCAGAGAAGTGGCCGAGCTGGGTGGCTCCTTTACTGACCTGCAGTAAAAGAAGCCCCCACAGGCAGAGCTGGGCTGCAAGGGGCAAGGGATGGGAACAGTGGGAGCAACCTGCCCCACCTGGCCCCCCACCCGCAGGCCCTGCTCCCCACAGTGATGCTGCCAGCTCCGGGGGGTCGGGAGCTGCCTTGCCTGGGCCTGGGGTGTGCTGGGGGGGGCTTGGAGGCAGGGAGAGAGGAGCATCTCCTGTATCCTGGCCTGGGTGCTACTGGGAGGGGGGGAGCTATGGAAAGGGAACAAAAAAAAAAAGGGAAAGAGAAAAAAAAGGGCTGGGAAGGGGGAAAAAAAGGGGGGGAAAATAGGAAAGAAAAGAGAGAGAAAGAAAAGAGAGAGAAAGAAAAGAGAGAGAAAGAAAGAGAGAGAAAGAAAAGAGAGAGAAAGAAAAGAGAGAGAAAGAAAAGAGAGAGAAAGAAAAGAGAGAGAAAGAAAAGAGAGAGAAAGAAAAGAGAGAGAAAGAAAAGAGAGAGAAAGAAAAGAGAGAGAAAGAAAAGAGAGAGAAAGAAAAGAGAGAGAAAGAAAAGAGAGAGAAAGAAAAGAGAGAGAAAGAAAAGAGAGAGAAAGAAAAGAGAGAGAAAGAAAAGAGAGAGAAAGAAAAGAGAGAGAAAGAAAAGAGAGAGAAAGAAAAGAGAGAGAAAGAAAAGAGAGAGAAAGAAAAGAGAGAGAAAGAAAAGAGAGAGAAAGAAAAGAGAGAGAAAGAAAAGAGAGAGAAAGAAAAGAGAGAGAAAGAAAAGAGAGAGAAAGAAAAGAGAGAGAAAGAAAAGAGAGAGAAAGAAAAGAGAGAGAAAGAAAAGAGAGAGAAAGAAAAGAGAGAGAAAGAAAAGAGAGAGAAAGAAAAGAGAGAGAAAGAAAAGAGAGAGAAAGAAAAGAGAGAGAAAGAAAAGAGAGAGAAAGAAAAGAGAGAGAAAGAAAAGAGAGAGAAAGAAAAGAGAGAGAAAGAAAAGAGAGAGAAAGAAAAGAGAGAGAAAGAAAAGAGAGAGAAAGAAAAGAGAGAGAAAGAAAAGAGAGAGAAAGAAAAGAGAGAGAAAGAAAAGAGAGAGAAAGAAAAGAGAGAGAAAGAAAAGAGAGAGAAAGAAAAGAGAGAGAAAGAAAAGAGAGAGAAAGAAAAGAGAGAGAAAGAAAAGAGAGAGAAAGAAAAGAGAGAGAAAGAAAAGAGAGAGAAAGAAAAGAGAAAAGAAAAAAAAAAAAGAAAAAAAAAGAAAAGAAAAAAAGAAAAGAAAGGAAGAGGGGGAGAGGAAAGAAAGTGGGGATGGAGGAAAACAGCACAGGGGAAAACTGTATCATTATAGCCTAAACACCATTATTTAAAAATACTTTGGGGTACTGACACATATCTCAAATGAAGGCAGCTTATTTTATCACTAACAGGGTTAGATAGTTCCAATCCCAGTGCCCTTCAGACCATATTTATTGCTGGCATTTAAGCCTGTGTCGCATTAACAACAGTAGAATAAATTTTTTAAAAAATAAAATATCTACAGCTTCCACAGGTCCCTTTTCTCCTTCTTGCTCCGAAAACACCTGGATGCTTTGCTCCCCCCGCCCCGGCACGCTGCTGAGAACCACACCACGGTTGCAGGTCGGCACCAGCCACATTTTCCACATTTCGTTTGCTAAGCCTATTTCAGTGCAAAGTGAAAGCCGTTGGCATAGACCATGGCACGCAGCACGGCATCAGCCCCGACAGGAGGGACGGTCGGCGGCATTGCAAAGTAAATCTTTCTCATTTATTTTCTAAACATGTATGCATCTGTATGAAACATGTTTTCTATACAAATGGTTATTTATATAAACATGTGTATGTATATGTATATACTCGCATGTGTGTATACATATATATATATACATACAAGCTGACAAACACAGCTTTCTCCTTCTTAAAGGCAGCAATACAGCTTAATTTCAACAAGCGAACAACTGCAGCAGATAATACAGTATCTTCCTCCAAATTTCCAGAGGAAAAAAATTTTTTTTAAACAAGAGACCAATTTTTTGCTTCCGAGCTGTCTGTAGGTGTACGGCACCAACCAAATGCGTGCGGGTCTGTGTGTGCACACCGATGGGCAGGACTCGCATCAACTTGGCGGCTCCCCCTTGTGCTAAATAATAATAATAATAACAACAACAATAATAAAAAAAAAAAAGGGGGGAGCTGCCGGGGTACCAGGAGGTGTCCCAGTCAACCCACTGGCACAAACAGGGAGAAAAACATCTTAAATACAGCCCCTGCGCTCCTGCTTTGTGCTTTGCAACGGGGGCAGCCGCGCCGGGGCCAGCTCCGCGCTGCGCCCCTGCCTGCGGAAAGCCTCGCGTTTATTTCACTTGTTTTAACTAAATTATTGGATAGAAGAGGAATAACATTAACGGCATCACGGGCTCCGCTGCTGGTTTTGCCCACCGGCATCTCAGGGCTGGCTCTGCGCGCAGGGTGGTTTGATGGATGCTCCGGCAGGCAGATTGGGGGTGTGGGACCCACACACACGCACACAGCCCCACGACCCCCTCCTCTCCACCCCGGGGAGCACCCCAGGGATGCAGCAGCCTCAATTCAAACCGACATGCACCCCCACACACCCCCCGGGGTGATGTGCCCGGGAGAGGGACCGCGCAGCGAGCGCGCATCCCTGCCTCCCGCCCAGGGAAGGATTTGGCCATATCCCGTTAAAACCCTTAGCCAGCTTTGCGTGTCCTCCCCCCTCCCGCCACCCCACAGCACCCTCCCACGCACCGGGGCACCCGAGTGATGGCCTGACGAGGGCTGGCCCCACGCCGCCAGCGCCGCCGCCGCTCCCGTGATTTATTAGCACCGGGTCCATCTTTCCATCCCTATCGCTCCCCGAAGGGAAAATAGATAATTAAATACATTAATTAATAATAGTAATAATAAAAAATAACGATGGAAACGAAACAAACTCGCGGGTGGCCTCAAAAATCAAAACCCGAGGGCGGAGGCAGCGTTTGGGGGGGGTGCGCACCCCGCAGCCCGGCTCCGCGCCACGCCAGGCAAACCACCCCCTGCTTTGGGGGTTTGGGGCTTTTTTAGTGGTTTGGTGTGGTTTGGGGGTTTTGGGTTTGCTTGTTTTTAAGGGGGAGGGATCGTCACCCGCGGAGAGGAAGGTGCTGCAGAACGGGGGCCTCGGCAATGCGGGTGCAAAACCGGAGCACAAAGGCGGCCCCGGGCCCCACCAACCACCCGCCCCGAGGAAAGCACCGAGGAGGGGACTCCTTAAAAAGACTTTCTGCGGAGAGGAAACCTCATTCCTTCACATGCTAAAAAAAAAAGAAAAAAAAAAAAAAAAAGAGGAAAAAAAAAAAATAAAACCAAAACTAAACCGAAAAACCCTCCAATTCATTTCTCTGCAGCATACAAACGACTTTCCCAGCGGCGATTAATCAATCCCCCCCCCGGCCCCTTGGCCAGAGGCTGGCGGCACCCGGGCACGATTCCCACAGGCTTTGGCAGAAGTCTGTACTTCGGTGAGCTTTGCAAAACAATATTCATAAATAATATTCGGAATTATGTTTTTTAACAAGCCCGTCTGCAAGGCTGAGCTGTAGCTAGGTTTGTCGCGGGGGGGAGGCTCGGCTGCCCCAAATCTCACCGAAGTGGATGCTGTAAGACACAGTCCCTGCTAAAATAAGGAGGCTAAACAGGGACGAAAACCTGCGATTTAATAGCGATTAGAAATGAAAATGTCACGTATTTTCAGCGCGCACCCGATGAAATATGGAGGTGCTGCTGGGAGGGGGGGTGGGGGTGGTGACCCCGGCGCAGGCAGCGGGGCTGAACCCCCTTGGGGAGGTGTCCCCAGCCCGGGGGGGGCCCTTTCACCCTGGGGAGCCAGGCACATGTGTAACTGGTGCAGGATCGGGCCCCAAACCTGTAACGCCAAGAAAGCCGGTGGCCGGGGGCTCGCAGTGGCCGCGGGAAAATTGCCGAGCGATGGAAAGTTTTATAGCAGCCCACCCTCACGTATTTTGTTCCTGCCACTCATTTTTGCGCTTAAAGAAATAAAAATCATCATCGTATCTCGTTGGATTATTTCCTAATAAATTCCCGATCTAAGTCGGTTATGACAGAAAAGGGCAGGAGAGTTTGGTGTCACCCAGAAGGGCCAAACCAAGGAGCGATTGCTGCTACAAAACACCTAATTTCGCCTTAAATCCGTGGGGTTTCGGGGCCAGAAAAGCGGCCCCGCGGCTGGGAACCGGAGCCGTTATTCGGTGCCGGGGGGGCGGTCAGGACCCGGCCGTGGGACAGACCCTCGCCAGCCCTGCACGTTCCCGCCGGGATTTTTTTTTTTTTTTTTTTCCCCTCTGCTGCGGTAAAATACGGTTAAACGTGCCCGGCTGCCCCCCCCAGGGCCGAGCAACGCGACCCAAACGGGGGTTAACGGGGACGGGCCCCCCCCGGCGGGATGGGGACCGGCTGCCGGGAGCGGCGGCTTCCCCCTCTGTGTCCCCCGAAATGTGTCCCGGGCCCGTCTCACAAATCTCGCCCCCTCCAGCCGTCGGGGCTGCCCCCCCTTTCCCTCCTTCAACTTTCCGGGTGCCCCGGGGCGGGGGGGTGGGGGATGAGCATCGCCCGGCTCCCCTCGGCGGGGTCCCCCCAGCTCCGGGCCCGCAGGGACGCCCCGGTTCTCGGTAATCGTTTGCAAACGGAAATTAATAATAACAATCATAAATAATAATAACAAATAATAATAATAGGGGTGTGCGTGCACACGGTCTCCCCCCGCGTAGGGCTCGGCCCTATAGAAGTGGGGAAGCTGCCGGCCCCTATGGCTCAGCCCCGGCGTGTGCGTCCCGCTAAAAACACGCTCGAGTCCGTACACCCGTGGGGTCCATTCAGCCGTATGTACACACACATCCGCGCGTACGTGGGTGCATACATTCCCCTCCTCCCCCCAGACGTGCTTATATACATCATCCCCCCCCCCCAGCACACGGAGTGTATGCGTTCACACGAACACGCTACCTGTAGCTACAGCGCATATATGTGCCCCTATAGATACATAGGTGATTTTGGGGTAGGCGCAGACACGGTGTCATCGCTCCACTCGCCGCGCGGAGCCGAGCCGGGCTCGCTGTCCCGATACCGCACACGGACGCCCGTGGGTCCCTTCCCCACCGCCGCCGCTCGCCCGCGAGGCGCTTGCCTGTCGCGACAAACGATCTAAGCGAGGGGTCGCGCGCTGCGGGCCGGGGGTGCGCGGGGCCGGGCGGCTACCGGGGCACCCCACGCCCACGCTGTGCACCTGCACACGCATTTGCACACGCGGAGCCGGAGCCGCGGCCCCGCCGACCTCTCCGTCGGGGCCGGGCCCGCCCGGCTCCCGCTGCCCGCTCTCCCTTCCGCACGCTCCGCATTTTCACGTCTATTAACACGGAGGGGAAAAATAAAGGAAAAATAATAATAATAAAAAAAAAAAACATACAAAATAAAAGAAGAAAAAAAAAAAAAACAACAACAAAACCCCAAACCAAACCAACAAAGCGCAGGCGGCCGGGCGGGAGCGGGAGGCACCTGCCCACCCGCAGGGCGCTGCCCCTCCAGCCCCTGCCCGCCCTGCCCCGCCGGCCCGGGGCCGCCTTTGCGGCAGGGAGCGAAGGAGGGGGAGAGGAGAAAAAGCGTCCTTACGTTGCACCGGCACACCGAGGATCTCGGGAAGCCCCTTGACAGCCCCTTCGGCAGCGAGCGCGGAGCTTTGCATCATTTTATTGGCCCGGGGGGCGGTGGAGGGGAGAGAAGAGAGGAGGGAGAGGTGAGGTGCGGCCCGGGCCGGCGGAGCCCAGCGGCGGCGGTGCCGGTGTGTCCCGGTGCGTCCCGGTGCCGGTGCCGGTGCCGGCCCGGGCGCGCCGCCGCAGCTGATCCCGCCAGCGCCGCCCGCCTCCCATTCATTCACCCTGCGGGGAGCGCGCCTGACGTCACCGCCCGCAGGGGGGCGGGGGCGGGCCCGGCCGCCCCAAGCCAATCGCCGCCCGCCCCGCGCCGGCGGGGGCGGGGCATAAGGGCGCCGTGGGCGTGGTTTGTTGCGCTGGGGGCGGGGCCTGCGGGGAAGGGGCGGGGGCTGAGGGACGCCCCGCGGCCGCGCCGGGCCCGGGCCTGGAGCGGCTGGCTCTGTCGCGACATCGTGCTGTCACGACCGGGGCCGCTGTCCTCTGCCAAGGCGCTCGGTCTGACGGCGCCGCTGGTGGGAGAGAGCGAAGAGCCGAAGGCCGCGGTCTCGGCTGCCGGGGCTCAGGGAGCTGCCCCCCGCTCCACGGGTGAGTGGAGCTCCACGGGGGTGGCGAGACCCACCAAAGGGCTCGGCCTGACTCCGGCTTCCAGAAGGATCCCCACGGGGCTCCGCCGAGAGAAAACCCCGGGGGGGGGCAACCCAGCCTGCGGCACCGGGGCGAAACTGGTGCGTCAAGAGGGGGCGAGGGCCGAGCGAGGAGGGCCCCCCCAAAACGCAGCCGGGGTTAGCAGGCGTGGGCACCTCGAGCATCGCCCTGCCCGATGCTCACCACGTCACCCGCTCGGGGACACCAAACCAAACGGCCCCGGGGTGCTGTGGCGTCCCGCTCTGCCCGGGTGAGGGGTGCTGAGGGTGCTGAGCCTACCCGAGAGGGGTGAAACCTTTGCGGGGACACCGTGGGAGGGAAGGATGCTCAGCCCAGCCGAGAGCACAGCCGCCCCCGCCTCCATGCCTTCGTTTCCATGCTGAAATGCAGCTGGGGAAGAGTAATTTCCCACCAGAAAAACAAACAAAAAAAAAAAAAACCAAACCAAAACAAACCAAAACAAACAAACAAAAAAACCCCAAACCTGGACCAGCCCCTCAGGAAATGTACAGGTGGGATGCACCAGCAATTGATAAAAAAAAATAAAAAAAAAAGAATTGTTTTAAAATAAAAGTAATAAAATCTAAGAAATGCATTAAGCCTGATGGTTCCTTAGGAAAAAAACAATAGGTTTTCAATGAGCTGCTAGTTTTTAACCCTAAAGCTTCATTTTACCAGCTCATCTTGCATCATTGGGCAGAGACCTGTGTGCATGTATTGCAGGAATGAGCCCCCCCCCCCCTCGCAGTCCAGTGAGCCCCCCAAAACCTGCTCCCCATCACGGGGGAGGTGAACCCCCTCCCTTCCCATCCCCTCCCATTCTCCCCTAAATCAAGCGCCGTCTCTTAAGTGCATTAAGTGTGCCCAGGCCCCCGGCCACCTGCGCTCCCCAGCCCCTCGGGGCAGGGGCCACCGTCCCTCCGCGGGGTCCCCAGCCAGCCGGCCGCGCCGGAGCACAGCTCCCAGCCCGGGGACGCGGGGAAGCAGGTCCCTAAAGCAGATTGACAGGAGAAGTTTAGCCGGACGTGCGGACAGGAGGACAGACGGGACGCTGCCCCGTGGCCTCCCTGTCCCACCGCTTTGCATTCCCAACCTATTTCCCTAATTATTCCACCGCTGCTGGGAGTCGCTTCCATCCTCCCCCCCGCTCTGGCACGCTCTGATTTATCTCTCAGCTGGGATAACAGCTCCCCCCCGCCCCCCCCCCCCCCTCCTTTCTCCTCAGGGAATTCAAATTTCATTCATTTTTCTGCTTTGCCAGATTGATCCAGCTCCCTCTGCCCCGCTCCGGATCACTCATGGCAGCGGCGAGCAGGCAAAGGGAGTCGCACAGCACCGAGCCTTCGCCTCGGGTGAACACTGCGCTCCGGGCGAGCTGCCACCACCAATGTCCACTAAAAAAAATAAACCAAAACCCACCAGCATCTTCCTCCCGGCTTGCTCTCAGCTCACCACACCTTCCCAGTAGAGCCTTCATCCCTTTCTCCGCCTTGTAGTATTGCTTTGTCCCCCTCCATCCTTCCTGCTGCCCATCTGTTCCTTGCCTTGGTGGTATTTCAGTTGCTTTTGGGGGTTTTTTTGGTCGCTTTGGGGTTTTTTTGCTCGCTTTTGGGTTTGCTTTCCCCAGCACACCCTGTTGGCGCAGCATATGGGGAGGAGAGGGTGGTGGGGGTGAGCACACGCTGTTTGCCCAGCAGACCCCCACTTTGTGCCACCCAAGATGCTGCTGGGTCCTGGTGGTGCTCGAGGAAAGGGGTGTGTGTGTGTGTGTGTTATATGTGATGGGTGTGAAATGGCCCCCTCCAGGCTTTCTCTCCCTCCCGGAGCTAAACCAGAGATACAGGTTGGTGGTGACCAGCCTGCAGAAGGGTGAATGTCATGATTTTCATCAGGTTGTGTTTCTGGGGCAGTTTTGGGGGGCTCTGGCCCCACACAGACACCCCACTCCCTCCTTGGTGTTGCCTCACACACACACACACACACACACACAAACACACACACCCCGGACCCCCCAGTTTTGCAGACCAGAGCAACGTGACGTGATGCTGCAAAACCTACTGGCCAGCAGGGATGGTGCTCCCACACCTTCCCTGCCGGTATTCATCAATAATAAAAAAGCAGGTAAATGCCAGGCCGTCCACAGATACCCAGCCCCAGGGTGCCCTCGTGTGCCCCAGCCCTGGGGCACGCAGGAATTGGGGCTGGTTTGGGCACCTGGAGGGGGGGTGGGAACGTCCGTGCATCATTCCCAGGTGCAGCAAGGGTGTTTCAAGGCAAGAACTGGGGTGGGAGGAAGGAAAACCCACACCTGGTCACGCAAAGCCTGAGTGGGTTTGGAGGTGCTGGGATGCTCAGCTGAACAGCAGGGCTTTTTGCCACCCATGCAGTGAGTTTTCCAGGTCTCAGCCCGGCTCCCAGAGTCCCCTCACATAATGAAACCAGCTCTCCCAGTCTGAGGAGGGGTGCGGGGGCAGATCTTTACGGGGCCACAGCTGCCGTAGCCACCCTTTGGCATGGGGCCCCCTCCCCTCCTGGCAGCACTGGCCACGGCACCCCGAGCCCCTCTGTGTGCAGCCCGCCAGCAGCCGCCCCCCCCCCGCTGCTCCCCACTTCTTAATTACCCCCAAAATTACCCGTGACCCCATCCCACACACCCCTATTGCCAGGGGTGGCCCGGAGCGAGGACAAGCACGGAGAGACCTGGGTACTCACCAGCGGCTGGAGAAAGCCTCTTCCCTCACGGGTGCTGCCGGACAGAGTGTTGTTAATTTTAATTGAAAATTAATCAATGTTAGACGACACCACCCCGGTGATTTTATGGCCCACGCGCGGGCAGAGGGGGGGGATGCCTGTGAAGAAAGGCTCTTGCCCACGCCAAGGAGGGAAAGGGAAGAGGGGCAAGGTGGGAGGGAGCGAGTGCCGAAGGGGTGGGAAGGTGGCTGGGTGTGCGGGGGGCCGGCCACCGGCCTCGCGGAAAATTAAATTGCACTTGAGGGTAAATTGTATTAGGGAATAGCGGCCGCCTCGCGCCAGCCTGCGGCCATTTGGGTAATTGGCCCCGGGGACTCCCCGGCTTGTGGCAGCACTGGGAAGGGGTAACCCCCACCAGGGAGGGCACCTCGGGGGGGTTTGGAGTGGGGTCCCTCCCTGGCCAGCCCATCCCACCCATGAGCGTGGCCCTGGCACAGTTTGCTGCTCCCCTTCTTCCAGGGTTTGGGTGGGGGCCTGCCCTGAAATCATCATCCCGGGGGGGGGGGGGCGGAATGATGACAGTGTGGGGAGACATTCCCCCACTCAGCACCCTCCTGCCTGCACCGGCCCATTTGTGCCCTGCACTGGGGTTCCCCAGGTGCTGGGGGGGACACCCCTCATCCCCTCCCCCCTCCCCCCCCCAGTGCCACAGCCCGGGAGAGCTGGGGCTGGGAGGATTGGGACTGCACCAAACAGGATTACGGAAAGTCTATTTGCTGGAGTCTCTTTTTCCTGCGTGCACGGCAGCTTTAGCTCCCAGGGCCTGATGCTAATCTGGGCCGCCCTGCTTGGGGCTGCCCGTGAGCCCCCTGCTGAGTTTAACCCCCCCCAGCCCCCCCGGGGCTAACCCCCCACCCCCTCCCCTGCCCCAGCACCCACTGCCCCAGCCCTAATCCCTTGCACCCCTCCTGCTGCATCCCCCTGTCCAGTTCACCCCGCTATGGCATCCCCCTGGCTTCCCCCCCACCCCCCCGAGCTATTTTGGGGCTGGGGGGTAACTGTGGGCAACCCCTCATCACCAGCCCTCGGCCCCACGTGGGGGAGCAGCTGGTGGGGAGGGGGTACACGGAGCGAAAGGGAGGGGGGGTGTGTTATTGATGTTGGGGATAAACCCCCCAGGGAAATCAAGGAGAAGGAGGCAGCAGGGCTGCGGCAATGAGACCTTCCCCATCCATCACCCGGCGGTGGGCAGGACCGGCACCCGGCTGGGGGGGGCACAGGCCCCCCCCCCCCAAATGCTGGGATGAGGCCACCGAGGGCCAGGCTAAGGGACATGGCCAAGGCCAAGCGGGCCAGCGGTGGCAGGGCAGGGGGTGCCGGCCCCACGGCCCGTGGAGGTGTAACCATGCACAGACACTAAAGGAGGAGGGAAGACGGAGCAAGAAAATTTATTTCAAAGGCAGGGGAGGGAGGAAGGGCTGGAGGAGTCAGAGCTCCCGGTGCCCGGGCAGCAGCGGAGCCAGTCATCCTCCTTCCCCAACCCACCAGCCCTCGCCTCCCACCTGGGCAAAGTGAAGATATCAAGAAAAAGGCTCCAAATCGGATTGACACCCCCCCTCCCTCTTAATAAAGTTTATTATCGGCTGGGATCTAATCCTTTTAAATCCCCTGCGTGGGGGGGAAGGGCCGGGATTAGGGTTGGGCAGCGTAATCCCAATGAATTTGTTACAGGGGGATTTAGGCAGCGCCGGGAAAGCAGATGGCCCCGGACCCGGCTCTGGAAAACAACCATTTTCCTTAATGATTCCTAACAAGGATAAAAGGGCAGAGAGAATCGGGGACAGGCACAGGGGGCCCACGCCTGCGGGGTTCCCAGTCCTTGGGGGGATGAGGGGATGTTCATGCCCATCTCCCTGCTCTGGAGCACGGGCACAGCCGGCGCCGAACGGCAGCTCCACGGCTCATGCCAACTTTTTCAGCAGCTTCCTGCCCCCCCCCCCCCCCCCCCCCCAGGCTCCCTCCCCATCACCCCACTCGGGGACACGCCCCGAGCCCCCCCCAACCCTAAGGACACGCTGGCTGTACGGGGGGCAGCCGGCCACGGGGGCACCCAGAAGCAAAAAGCAGGAGAAAACGTACAATAATAATTTAAAATATTTAACGGATTTAAAGCAAGCCAGTGTTCTTCCTGGGGTGATGGGGGAGGCCGGAGTGGGGTCAGGGGGGAGGGCAGGGAGGGGGGATGCTGCCCCACTGTGCCTGTAGGGGAGAGACCAGCCGACACAGCGGGGCTGGTGTCAGCAAAAATAATTTATTCCACTAAAACAAGCACAGAGTGAGCAAGAGCACGGGGAGGGGAGCGGGGCGGGGGGGGCAAGGAAAGGTGGGGAGGCCCCAGTCCACGTCTCAAAGGGGGACACACATAAAATGCAGCTGAACCCATGACTGCCACCCCCTCTCCCAGCACAGTGCCTGCTTTTTTGGGGGGCTAAACCCCCACCCTCCTGGCCCGTCTAGTGGTTTGACCCCAAAGGGCTGCTCCCCAGCCTGGGACTGGGCTTCCCAGTTTGAAACCAGCCCAGCACCAGGGAGATCCCGAGGGTAGCTGGGAGCTGAGACACAAACTGCCGTCAGCGTCTCAGCTCCCGTGCACCCAAAAACGTGGCACCGCGACCTGAGGGAGGGATGCTCCAACACCTCCTTCCCCCCCCCCCCCCCCCCAAAAAAAGAGCCCTCCATCCTCCATTCCCCACCCTGGGTGAGGCACCTGCTGTGAGCAGGGCAGCTCCGGGGTGGGGGATGCACCAAACCCCTTCCCGCTGGGTGACAAAACGCTGTCCCAGGGGTGCAGTGGCTCAGCAGCCCCCCCACCCCGGGGGCAGCCCCCATTCCCCCCCCACCCCACCCCACAACTGCTCTCAGGCCCCGGGGAAAGTGAGACGGCCTTTCCGGGCGCGGGTGCGGAGGCGAAAGAAAGTGTACATGCCCAGGAGGCACATGGAGGAGAGGAAGTAGAGGGCAACGCAGAGGCTGACGTCCAGGCGGGAGAAGCCCAAGCCGAGCACCCGCAGCCAGGGGCTCCTCCGCACGCCCTCCCCGGCTTCCTCCTCCTCTTCCTCCCGGAGCAGGGCAGCGGGAGCCCGCCCGTGCTCCCGGCCCGCGCCGGCCTCCCGGGGCAGGGCGATGGTGTCCCGCTTGCTGAGCCGCCGGCGCCGGCCGGCCGCCGCTCGCAGGGCTTGGCTCTTGAAGTGCTGCTCGCTGAAGGAGTCCAGGTCCACAATGTCCTCGCCCGCCTCCCGCGGATTGGGGTTCAGCCGCACGATGCTGGGGCGCCGGGGCTCGGGGGAGCCCGGTCGCCTCGGAGCTCTCCTCTCGCCCTCCGTCTCCTTTTCCTCCTCTTCCTCCTCTTTCTCCCTCTCCTCGCGCGGGCTCTCGGTGCCCAGCCTGGCGCCCGTCCCCTCCCCAACCACGGGCACGGGGTCGGTCTGCACATAGTCCAGGTGGATGTTGGTCGGGGAGAAATACACCTTGAGGAAGGTGAGCACAGCGGGCTCATCCCAGGCGTGCACCCCTCGTTCCTCCTTGTGACACTGGGGACACATGTCCGGCGGCGGCCACTGCAGCTTGGGGAAATTGGGGTCCTCCGTGTCACCTCCTGCAAGGACCGGAGCCAGCGAGGGGGTTAGAGGGGACCTGCGACGCAACCCTCCCCCCGTACCGGTAATAAACACCCTGGAGCATCCAGCAGCCGGGGCTGGGGACGTTTGGAGGAGCTGCCTCGAGAGGAGGGGTGCTGCGAGGGCACGCGGTGGCTTTGGGAAGCTCCCTGTGGGGAGCGTGCTAAGATCCAACTGCATCTCCGGGGGCGGTCGGCTGCTGCGCGACGGGGGACGATGCCCACGGGACGTCCCGGCTGCCGCACCCTGATGCAGCCATTCGCCAGCTCCATCCAGGAGGAGGGATGCTCCTCCACCTCGCCCCCCCCCCCCCCACCTTTTCCTTCAGGAAGCCACCCCGGCTCCCTGCCCCGCGTCCCCCCCTTACCTGCCAGGCGAGCGTTGACCTTGTTGTGGTGGGACCAAAGCCAGAGAACGGCCTCCTCCCGGCCCACCACCCGGTCCATGGACTCGGCTGCCATGGCCTCAAAGTGCTGGGCACACTCCTGGCAGCCGAAGAAGTGCCGGACGTAGCAGCGCATGGTGCTCAGCACCTCCAGCGGCAGCTCTGGGTGGGGAGGCAGAGGATGGGGGGGGTGGGACAGAAGGGTGAGCCCAGACCCCACGGTCCCACAGCCCGGGTGGCAGCCCTGCACCCCGACTCTGCGGCTCTTGCCCTCCCCACAGATGTTTCCCCCCGGGGTGAGACAAGCCTTTGCCAGCAGGCAGCATCCCTGCCCGTGCCACAACCTGTCTGGACACCCCCTCCCCGAGACCCAACCACACCCCACAACCGGGGACGCCGGTACCTTTGTCGGGGCCGCTCTGGGCAGCCTGGATGGTCAGCAGGTGGAAGATGGTCCAGAGCCCGCAGGGGTAGCCACGGAAGTGGGGTTCGCTGCCCTGGCAGCCCACCCAAGTCACGTTGGTGGGGAGCATGGCTGATGGGGAGGCCTGGAGGACAGACAGACACAGTGTGAGGGAGCTGGCAGATAACAGGGGTGGGAGGGGGTCCTCGCAGGTGCCTTACATTTCTGTTATTCTTCATGGCCTCCTTCAAGGTGCTGCGGGGCAGCTCGGGCTCTGTCCAGTTCTTCAGCCAGCTGTCCAGGGTTTGCAGGTAGGTCTGCACGCAGGGGCGCCCGGGGAAGTACTGCAGAGGGGGGAGAGGGGTGAGAAAACCCCACCGGCACCCCCGGCTCACCGGGATGGGCCCCCGGGCACCACCAGCATCCTCTATGGCAGCACGTGCTGGGGGGCGGCGCGGTCCCGACAAGGTTTCGGTGCCCGGCCCTGACTGGGCTGAGGAGGGGGGGGCGGTGTTGGGGCCACAGCGCGAGGCCCCCGCACACACATTCAGGCTCCAAACCTCGGCCCCATCTGAGGGAGGCAAAAAGCCACCCGGACCGTAAGTCGGCGCAAAGCCGATTAGCAGCAGCACTTGAAAAGCGCGGGCGCTCGGGGGAGAGGGGGCAGCCGCCGACGGATGGACAGACAGAGGGACCGACCCACGGGGAGGATGAGACCAGCAGCACTCGGGGGGGGGGGGGGGGGGGGGGGGGGGGGCGGGGAGGAAAGCGACAGGGAAGCGAAGGGAAGGAGCCTTGTGTTAAGCGTGAGCTGTTCAACCCGGGTCTGAGGGGAATCGCACGGCAAGGCCCAAACTGGCAGGGGAACTCATCTGTGACGTTTCTGCGGCAAAACGCAGCCGCTCCCCTGGCTCCTTTGGCGGGAGGCTTTGCCGCACCGTGCCCTGCTTTCCAGGCATCACTTCTTTCCACGTTAGGATTTTTTTTTTTTTTTTCTTCCTTTGGTGTCTTAAATGCCTCTTGGGAAGGCAACAGTTAAGGCTGAGATGTGCTGGCTGAGCTCCCCTCCCAGCCTGAGCCCTGCCGAGCTGGCAGCAATCCTGGGGACAGCAGAAATCCTGGGGACAGCAGAAATCCTGGGGATGCTGCTCCGTCCCGTGGATGAGCACGGCAACGGCAGCGCCAGCTTGGTGTCCTTGGGGAAGCACCAGCACCCACCACCCACCACCTCCAGCCCACGGGTGGGATGCAGCTTCGCCTCCTCGCTGGGGCCGGTGCTACAGCTCATCCTTGGCCAGCAAGGGGAAGGTTTGCAAGAAGAATTGAAAGGCGATCAAATAAAACCGCTGCCGCTCCCCCACTGCCCTGGCAAGCTCGTACCCTTGGCCAGGGAGCTGGTGCGACAGGGGATTTGTTTCTGCAACCTTGTGGATTTCATTAAAGGGAGAAATAGCGAGGGTGATAGCCAGGGGCAAGCAGAGGAAAAGACACGTGAAGCTCTGAGCTGAGGACTTGAGGCTCGTCGCACCAGTGGCTCGTGTTTGGAGCTCTTTGTTGGAGGAGAGCGGGCAGGGGTGGGAGCAGGGGGTGGCTCAAACATCAGTGAGGGCTATGTGAGGTCCAAACTGAGCATGAGACCCTGGGTGACAAAGGAGGGAGCAAAGAAAAGGGACGATGCCTGGGTGAAGGTCTACCAAAGGGCCCGGGCTGGGACAGGGCTGGAGACAGGGCTCCTTCCACCCCGCTGGTGGTAACCTCAGCCAAACACAGCGCTCCATTGCACCAAGGAGTTAAACTGCCCTGCTTCTGCTGGCTCGAAGCTCCTGCACACTTCAATTTCACCAAGGCCAACAGAGGAGAAAAAAGGAGACCTTAAACTAGGCTCTTCCAGAGCCTGACTCAGAGCGGGAGGCCCTCTCCTGCACTATCAAAGGAGCCTGCAGAGATCAGCTCCCCAGGCCAAGCGTCCGAGTCAGGCGATCGGAGTTACAAACCCCTCTGATCACCTCTGCCACCCCAGCAGCTGACAGCCTCTCTTCTGAAAAATACCCACTGCCTCCACACCCCCCCCGCGAGTTGCCGCTCCTGCTCTGCCCCGCCGATCCCCGCGCCCCGTCTGAAACACTGCGGCACCCGCCCTCAGCGCCCGTCGGGACCCCGGGCCGAGTTTGGAGATCCGCAGGGGTGGGGACAGCCCCACGGCAGGCGGCCGTGGGACGTGCTGAGCGCCGGGACGCGGGGCTCACAGCCGAGACCCGACACCCCTCGCTGCTTGCGGGCGCCGGGACGTGGCAGCCTGCACCCCTGCGTTTGCATTTCGCCTTCTAAATCGCTACGGGGAGGCAGGGGCAGTTCCCCTCCCGACACCGAGAGCTCCTCACCTTCACCAGCGTGGCCACGTAGCACCTGAAGGCGGCCAGCTGGGCTCCCGAGAGCGTGGCGGCGCGGGCGGCCTCCACCCGCAGCGAGTAGTGCAGCGTGGACTCCAGGTCGGCCATGTACACCTTGGAGCTGGGGAGGGCAGCGCAAGGCGATGATCCATCAGCCCGTTAATCCGCACGCCCGGCCGCGATTCGGGGTTTTTCCCAGGGGGAAAAAGGCACCATCCCGGCCCACTGCCCACCCACCGCCGTGGCACCTCCTCCCCGCACCAGCCCCGGCCTCCCACAGCCCCAAAATGATGGAGGGGGAGGTCTGACCGGTCGGCACATTTCGGCTGGGCTGTGCTGGTGTCGTTAGAAGCGTCGACGGTCGTGTTCAGCTTGTAGGAGCCGCGGGTGATGCCCGAGAGTGTGCGCAGGTAGTAGGTGTAGAAGGAACGCACCTCCATGTGCCTGCAGGGAAGAAGCCGTGAGCAAGACCCTCTTCCCTCCCACACAGCCCCCAGGAGGAAGCAGGAGACCAAAGGCTTAGCCAAACCGGCCACACGGACCTGAGGAATGAGCGTGGGGTGGTCTGTACTCTCCCCTTGCCCTGGCAGTGGGCATCCTGGCACGCAACCCAGAGCAGAGCCCCGCCGTGCCACCTCCAGGCAGATGTGGCAGAGGGATGGCTCGGTCACAAGCCATTTTCCCTTCTGCCAGCCCCCCGTTCAGTGCCCACCAGCAGCCCCCTTTCCCCTGCCCGCCCCAGCCACCATCTCCTTCCTAATAAACTTTCCAACAATTATAAAGGAGAGCGGAGAGGTGGGGCGCAAGCCTGGCACCCCACCGGGGTCCCCAGACCCACCCCGTTGTGTCCCACACTCACACGGGCAGGCGGGAGAAGGAGCCGTTGCGGAGGAGCAGGTAGCCGGAGGGGAAGGAGGTGACGCCGAACTTCTCCACGAGCTCCTTCTCGCTGCTCAGCACCCTCCTCACCGCCAAGTTCTCGTACTGCAGCATGTCCAGCGCCACCTGCAAGCCCAGCAGCCCCAGGGTCAGAGAGGGGGGAGGGATCCCCAGCCCCACCAGGGATGCAGCAGGGCTATTTAGCAGCCTGTGCAACGCTTTGCACCTACAAAGCAGCATCCAAGCTGCCGGGAGAGGACTTCCGTGCAAGAGGCACCCAGGACATGGGCTTCAAGAGAAATGGGGGATAAATGCAGCTCTACCCACCTCTCTGCCCACGAAGGAGTCGCTATTCTCAAATATCAGTGCCAGGTACCGGTCCTTGTTCCTCTGGAAGAAAGTCCGAACCTCCTCAGCGCTGCAAAAGAGAAAAGCGGGTGTCTTGGCATCAGTCGGATACTCTGCCCAAAAGGACCTCGTCCCTCATCCCCAGGGATTTGGCAGGGGGATGCCAGTGCACGTTCAGCCCCACCGAGCAGGCAATTCCTCCCCGCTGAAGTTTTCAGCCCAATTTTCCGCTCTGGTTCACAGGCTTTGAGAAAAGCCATCAGGGTCAGCCAAGGAGGCAGAAAACAAAGCACAGGCAGGGCAAGGGAAAAGGGAGCTGCATGCTCACCCAGGGGGAAAAAGAGCAGTGAACTTGAACCAGATCTGTTGGGTTTTTTTTTGGCTAGGACACAGAGGCACCAGAGACCTGAAGCGTGTGCCTGGCTCGACCATCGCTTTGGGAAAGGCAAATGCTTCCCCCCAGGACAGCAGAGCAACCGCCTGCGTCTGGCAAAGACAACTCAGATCCCAACAAATTTGTACCAAACCAAGAAAACCCTTTCTCAGGGCAGGGAAAAGCTGCTAACGGCAGCGGCCTCACTCAGCAAGGCACAGCACTGCCAAGTCCCCCACCCAGGCACCACCTGCTCTAATTAAGGCTGATGAGCAGGTTCATTAAGAGATGTAACAATACCGCCCGTCTCATCCAGGCCACGTAAATGACTCTAGCCTGGCCAGGTCACCTGTGTCTCCCCAGGACGTGGCGGCTGCTCTGTGCTCATTTTTGGCTCAGGATTTGCCCAGAAACCCTTTCTCTGTGGGACAGAGGCTGCCAGAGCCACCCCACCCCCCCCATCACCCGCCCCTACCTCGCCGGCTCCAGCGGAGGACAGGCGGGCGGCCAGGAGTCCTGGCTCTGCTCGAGGTTGGTGATGATGGCATGGCGCAGGTCCTCGACGGTGGCGCTGGGATCTGCAGGGGGGACAGGGTGCCAAGGGGTCAGTCCTGGGGAAGCTGGTCCTGTGGGCTGAGCTGAAGGGAGCGGCTCTGAGCTCTGCCCCCCGCGGTCCCAACGTCTGAGGGGTGCAGGCAGCAGGGCCATTTGCATTTGGGGTAAAAACCCTGTGGCTCTGAATACTCACTGGTAATCCTTATCCCATCCTCTGCCTTCTTGCTAAAAGCTCTGAAGAACTGAAAGGGAAGAAAAAAAAAAAAAACAAAAACAAAAATAAAGCCACAAGAGGAAACTGGGCTGAGAGTGTCTGGAGTGGGACGGAGAGGCAGCGCAGCCCAGCAGGCAGAGGCTCCCCTCAGACTGGCTCTGCCTCAGTTTCCCCACGAAGCTACAGCACGCTGAGCGACACCAGCCACCGCAGAAGGAGCTCCCGGCCGTGTCCTCGGTTTGTGGGGCATCCCCGGAGTGGTGGGATGAGGCATGGGCTGGGAGCTGTGTCCAGCCAAGGGCTGAGCGCTGGCTGGCATCTCCAGGGAAGCAGCTGGGACCTTCCCAATCCTGCAAACCACTGTCTCTCTGCTCCAGAGCTCTCACAAAGCAAGAAAAGGGATTTTTTTTTTTTTTTTCTCCCCACTCCTGGCCTCCCACAGTGGCTCCCAGTGCCCGTGGTACAGCTGGAGCAGTGAAACCAGGTTGCATCAGACAGGTGTTTGCTTTGCAGGCTGGGCTGGGAGCACGGGCTGTTTGCAAAAGGTGTTTGGCGGGGACAGGGGATGCGAAGCGAGCGACTTCTTGGCACCACCGCCTCAGCACGCGCCTCCCTGCGCCGGGAGACGTTTGGGTCAACGTCCCACGGGCGGTGGGTGCTCGGTGACACCCAGGGCAGGGCTGGGGCACAAGCCAAACTGAGGGCAAACCCCCAAACCTGACCCCACCTTGGGCTGAGCCTCTAAGTCAGGAGTGAGGCCATGTCTGATGAAGCTCTTATCCCCTCCGCGTTCCGTCGCGAGGCGATCCTGGCTTTTGCTGTCTGCACCTGGAGTGCTTCAGCTTTATTGCTTGTGTTGGAGTGAGGCTTTGTTTGCAGTGGGAAACGCTGCGAAACGGCGTATTGACCCAGCTAAGGGGCCGGGCACAGGCCCAGGAGGAGGGACAGCATCTTGCCAGCCACCGCAGGAGGCTCCGAGGAGAGCCCCGTGCAGCCTCCCTGCACCCTCCTCCAAAACCTGCGCCTGCAACCGTGCTCTGCCCTCCAGCAGCCTTTCCCCAGGCATTTCCAATTCAGGTTTCGGATTTTCCCATCCTAGGAAAGATCCAGCCTCTGTGTTTCACCGTGAAGCAGAATTTTATTAGTTTTCCCCTTCCTTGTTGCTACATCACCCAGCAGTTGCACCGGCTGCAGCCCAGCCACAGTTATGTTTTGGGGAAGGGTGAAACAGCTCCAGCCTGCAAAGCCTCAAAGGGAATATTTTGGTGCAATAGCGCTGTCGATCTGATTGAGCAAGAGAGTGACAGGCCAAATGGCAAAGCACAGCGAAACCAGGCAAGTGCCCAGCGCGCAGAGCCCTTACCTTGAGCGTGGGGAAGCCAGTTATCCCAAAATCACTGCACACTTGCTGGTTGGCCTCGTCAGCACAGTCGATGGCCGCCAGCATCACCGCAGGCCTCCACTCTGCGGGGACAGAGGATGCCGTCGGCACAGCTCAGCCCCCAAAACCGCCCCGCTCCCCACTGCCGCCGCGGGCAATCCCCCGCTGCGCCAGCGCACGGCTCGCCCCTCGCAGGAGTCCCACCGATGGTTTCCAAGCCCCAAATAAATACCCGGCACCGCGGTCGGCGCTGGTGTGTGGTGCCCTACTTTTCGCGTGGGGAAAGCCACGCGAGGCGGGCCCAGGCTTTGCACGCCCTGCCTTCGCTCTGCCCGCCGCTGCCTGCCCGTCTGGTTCTGCGGGCCCTGCCTCTGCCCCAACGGGAAGGGGAGGGCTGGCTAACCGCGGCCGGGGGAGAGCAAGGGACACGGGCTCCAGCTCGTCCCACCCCAGACCAACGGCACGGTCGATAACTGTGAGGAAACAACCCAAAATCAGTGGCCGGGGCACCGTGGCGGAGCCCACCCAGGCGCCGCCGAGCATCCGCTCCCCCCTCTGCGACTTTCCACCACCACCTCCCCAGGGGGGACCAGCCGGTCCCTGGGGTAAAACAAAGATGAAGAAAAGGGGGCGTGGAGGCATTTCAAGCAGAGGGCTCCGAAAGCCGACAGCAAAATGGAGATAAAAGCTCTGAAATGGCTCCTTTATAGCGTAAAAGACGCAAGTCAGAGAATGTCCAGCCTCTCCTCTGAGCAGAATGGGGAGGGACGTGGTGCTGGCACACAGATGGAGCCCACGCTGCCCGAGGTGGGAGCCTGACAGAGATGGGGACCCGCTGGGACCGTCCCGTGTCACAGGTGACGGGGCAGACAAGCTGCTCCCCGCTGCCCCGGCACCTGCGGCACAGGAGGGCTGGTGCCGAGCCCTGCTGCAGGGAGCCAGGCTGGATTCATCGGCACACTGAGGTCACCCCAGCGCTGGCATCCTCCCCATCCAGCCCACTCGTGCAAAAATCCACCCGTGGGAATGGCAGTGAGGATGCCGAGCGGCAGAGGGGAGGCTTCCCCACCCTGCCTCCACAGGCACCCCACCCGCGGTCCGGGCCTCCGGAGCGGGGAGCCCTCGGGGGACCCCGTTTTGGAGAGGGGCCAGGAGAGGCGTGATTCCCCCGCAGGGCCCGGGCGCGCACCCCATTCCTCACATCCTGCCCCGGTGGGGAGCGCTGACGGCATCCCGGGGGAGGGACGGCATCCCCTCGGAGGGACGGGATGCCCGCCCCGGCCAGCGCCCTGACTCACCGGGGCAGCGACCGCGCTCTATCAATTAGTGCAATAACAGAGAGAAGACGCGCACACCCTGGGATGCCGGGGGGGGAAGCAGGACAAGCCCCTGTGGGGCGAGGGGCCCGGCAGTGGGGTGCGTGGGTCCCCAGGAGGAGCTGGGCACCAGGCAGGCCGGGCATCAAGGTCAAAACTGGGAATAAACCAGCTGGGATCAGTGCCTGGCCCTGGCGCCCTGCCAGCCTCTCCCTGCGGGCACTGGGGAGGAACGGGGCTGAGGGAGGGTTTGGGGGGGGCAGCAGGGCCCCCCCCCCACACCTGGGGCAGGCTCAGCCGGAGCTTGTCCCAGCCAAAGGGGCTCCAGGGATGCTGCTAAGCCCGGTCTAAACATCACCGGGGGGAGAAGGGGGGGGCTGGGCCTTCCAGCCAGGCTGATGCTGCAGGGAGGTTGGGGCAGGGATGCGGGGGGCAGCGAGGATGGAGGGGTGCTAATGAGGAGGGTGCAGACAGGGTGCTGACAGGGCCGAGGATGCACGGAGCCGGGGCTGCAGGGAGGATTTAAGTGCTGATGGAGAGGAGGAGGAGGATGGGACAAGGATGCAGGAGGGATTCAGGGGGGGCAGGGGCACAGGGAGGATTTTGGGGTGCCGGTAGGAGAGCAGACAGGGATGTAGGGGGGATTTAAGGGTGCGGACGAGGACACACAGGGGCAGAGACACGGGGGTGCCGACAGGAGACAAAGATAGAAGGGGGGGGGAAAAACCAAGGTCAAGGGCACAGAGAGGGTTTGGGGGTGCTGCTGGGGCAGCGAGGGAAGGCGGGCCCAGGGACTCACCGCGGAGGTCGTGGCCCAGCGCCCGCCATGTGGGCGCGAAGTGGACGCAGTGCCCGCACCAGGAGGCGAAGAACTCGACGGCCCAGGCGCTGGGGGATCCCAGCAGCCTCCCCGCCGCCCCCGGCCCCAGCAGCTCCAAAGGGTCGCTGGCCGAGTACAGCCCGCCGGACCTCGCCGCCGGCAGCCACAGGGCCAGCACCAGGGTCGCCGCCGGCCACCAGCTCCCCCCGGCCCCGCCGGCCCCGGCCCCGGCCCCGCCGCCCCTCGCCCGCCGCCGCCACATCGCCGGCCCGGCCGCCGCCGCCGCCGCCGCCGCCGCCGCCTTTAGGGCCGCCCGCCCGCCCCGCCCACCGAGGGGCGGGGGCTCGGCCGCCCGCAGCGCGGCGCCCCCTGGCGGGCGCGCAGCAGCGCTCCGCACACCCCCGCGGCTCTGCTGGGGGCGGGGGGGGGGGGGTGTGGGATGGGACAAGGACACCCCCCAAATAACACTTCGCCGGCCGCAAGCAGCGCGCTGGGAACGGGGGTGAGGCCGCGGCGCTACCCCCCGGCCACGCGAGGGGACGGATAGCGTGAAATGATCAAATTCTGCTAAAGGGAGGAAAAGGGAAGGCGGCTGACCCAGGCGCTAAGCCGGCGGTGCCACCATTACGGGTCACCCCTGAGGGCAGCGGCTGAGTCGGACCCCCCCCCCCCGCCCCCCGACACCAGGCACCGTCACCAGGCAGCGCCCCACGCAACAGGCACCCCAAGCAACAGGCACCCCGGCAACCCCGGCTGCCCTTGCCCCGACCCTGCCAGGGACGCTCGTCCAGGATACCCAGCCAGGCCCCTAAAAATCCAGCTGTTCCACCCCAAAATAAATAAAAACCCAGCCCTCCATCCCAGGGATGGCTCCACAGCTGGCCCCGCCAACCCGGCCGTGCCATGGCTCACGCACACACCCACGTCACCGACTGCTGGGCGGAAGGTGCCCGTTGCCCAGGGCCCCGGGGCAGAGCCGGGGTGGACAAAGCCCCAAAATCCAGCCCTCCGCTCCCTCCCCACCCCCTGAGGCCAGCGGGCCCTCCGGCACTGGGGGTGCCCATCGCTGTTGAGGGCTGGTTGCTGGCTCCGTCCCCAGGAAGGCCATTAGCCGTGCCGGGCCCCACCTAGGTATTTTAGAAGGACTTGCCACGCTAGAAAAACAAGCCTGCCAGAGCCAAGCCTTGCGGTGGCAGCGGAGGGCAGGGGCCCCCACACAGGGCACAGCTCTCGGGGAGCCACGGGGCTCCCCAAGGCTCTGGGGGACAGAGCCTGGGGGACACGACCCTCGTGGGGATGCTGCCACACGTCTTCTGCGGGTCCAGGCTGATGCAAAGGGGGCAGAAGCTGGTTTGCTCCAGCCCTGCCAGCTGTAATTAAAGGTTTAAGGGATTATCACACCTTGCTGTCCAAGTAGGAGGGAGCGAGGCGCAGCCCAGCCCACGCAGGGCTGCTCTGAAAGGTGGGCTCTTGCTAGTGCCAGACTTTGACAAGATCCATCTTTATCCAGCTGGTGCTTAAAAGACAAAAATGCCTGTGCTTAGGGCTGTCGTCACCGTTATTTTACCCTGGGCTAAAATCCTTATTTTAAGGGCTAGCCAACTTGATTAGGTTATCACAGCAAAGAGGTGCTCAGCACCAGGGTAATTGCCAGCATTCTCCCCATCCAGCTCACCCCTCCCTCCCAGGGAGCCCAAATTCCGTGAATCCTTTTTTAGTTGCAAAAGCATCATCGAACCTGAAGGTAGATGGGCGAGAGCACCCGGGGCTCCGGCTCCTTTTGAGGTGAGCCATGCCATTGCTCATCCACCGAAGCCCCGGGGTGGGGATGCTCCTGCTTCCTGGGGAACAGCCAAGGGCCGGGGATGCCCGTGACCCTGCTGCCAGGCTGGCACATCCCAGCCCCACGGCTCCCCGGGGAACAGCCTCCTTCAGCCGCAGGCACCAACTTGCTCAAAAAGCCTTTTTACGCTGCTGCAAAGCAAGAAAAGAAGCTTTTCTTTCGCCTCCTACAGGGAAGAGCTGGATATTCAGTGCAGAATGGCCCAAGACCGAGCATGGGCATAGAAAGCCAAAGATGAAGCAGAGATTTTGAAACAGCCCATTTTAAGATGGATTTGACAATAATTAAGATGGATTAAAAAAAAAATAAAGAAGCAGTAGAAGAAATGCCGTCCCGGTGCTACCTGCCTTTTTGTCCTCTCTTGCTTTGCACCCCCTCGCTGCTAGCAGAGCCTGCGGGCTGCAAAGCACAGGGGATGGGTGCTGGGTGACCCTGGATGCCCGGCTGCCAAGTCTCCAGCCAGTCCTAAACCCCAGCTTTAGGCCCTTCTGGCACACTTAGGAACCTACGTGTTTTTCAGCTGCGCTGCACAGCAAAACTTTCAGTGGACACCTCAGCATCCTTAACTTTGTGAAGAGACGTGCTCCACTCTTATGTAGCAAGGCCACGGGCTAAGGACCACTGCAGTGGTTCCCTCACTGCACAAGTCCCCATGCAGCAGCTGAGCGGTGGGTTTAGTTTGTTAAGCTCATCAGCTCTCAAATCTTTCCCTGACTAACAGCCAACAGGAACCTCCTTGAAGTCAGTCAGGTGTGGGCAACACCACCAAGCCGAGAGCCTCAAAGGCTGCTAAGATCTCACAAAAATCATTTAAGCCCTGCAGAACTTGTTCCGTGCACCCAAAACGGATCATTTGCACAGACACAAAGAGCTATGCTGATGGCCTCTGTGCTGGGTTAGAGAGGAGAGGAGGAAAGAGCAGTTGGGTTTTTATGTATTCAGCCCTTGAAGTGCTGGAAAGGACTACGCTTCAGAAAAGCGAGAAAGGCTTTTACTGTCCATTTTTTAAAGCATGAATCTGGCTGCAAAACACCAATAGCTCAAAACGGCCAGGTAAGCCGACCCAGTACCTTCTCACTTCCCTTTAGTTGTGAAGGTCTGGGGACAGGGAGATCCTGAAATGGACTTTCTTCCTTGAAAATTAAAGCACACGTTCCTACCTAATTGTGCGATTCCAGGAACTGACTCCAAGAAAAACACGCAACCAATGCAAGACTCATGATACAATCATGGCAACCCCGTCACCCAGCCCTGGCATTTCAGAGGCCATTCAGAGAAGTTTGCATGCAACTCCCCTGCGAGTTGCGGAGGACAGTTTTCCTCTCTCTCTCTCTCTCTCCAGCCTTCACAAGATGGGACTGATGAGCTCAGGCAATCTGGAGCACAGCACCACTTAAAGCGTGGTCTCTAAATAGAAGCAAACCCTCATTTTCCTGATTAGCATCTCTAAACAGCCTCAGAGTGAGTGAAAATTTTGCCACCTGCCACCTCCCCGCCAGCTGGCACTTTTCCACTGGTGGCACCAGTCACACCTCCGCTGAGATGTGGATTCAGGTAAGACCTTTGGCAGCACCTGAATGATAAACCTGCCAGCTTACACGGCTTTGCTGGGATGGGGAATAATGAACAGAGTGGATATGAACCCCAACTGCTTCCCACACCCTGCCTCGGCTCTGCTGGGATAACCTACGAAGACCAGGAAAGCCCCTTGTAGCCCCACTGCTAGCTGGGAATCGCCGACTATGTGAGACAGGCTTGGTTGGGTACAGCTGATTTCTACCTTTCAAGCCCAACCAGCCTGTAATAACAATAGACGTAAAAGAAAATCTGGGGTGCATTCTCAGGATGTGATGAATGTGTTCACGTAGTTTGTGTCTGCAGAGACACTACAGCAGTACCAGCCCCTTTCTGCTATTCACCCTCCGCTGATTCATCCCTGCTCAAAGGACAGCAGCGACGCTGCCCTTGCTCTTTTCGGAGGGACGTGGGGGGACCGGGAGGAACTGGTGCTGTCTTTGGTATGTCTGGGTAGGAAACGTTTTACCTGCAAATTTAAGATCTACTTAAAGTCATAAATCATCACCATGACCCAGGATGCACAGAGCAGATGTTTTCCACTCCAGCTCATCTGCCCAGCTTCCAGGAGCAGATCGGAGGAGGCCACACCGCCCAGATTTGCCACATCATTATTTGGCAGCTGGTTTAATTGCAGCGCATGAAACTGAGAATACCACACGGATGACAACGGAGCACTCCTCTCTTGCTGTGGCAGCAGTCCTGCAATGTAAGACAAAGTCTCACCTACCAAGGACCGGTGTGCCCAATCACAGCTTCACTGAGCAGCACTGGCTCCATCACCTCTGCATGGACACTGGACCAGGCTCCTCGATGAGCTCCTCAAGCCAAGCAACACGAAGGGTAGGATCCCCTGCAGCCTCCTTTACTTTGCTGGAATAAAAGAAAACAAAATCTCTGGGACACCACCCCCCAGGATGGGTGTTAATTCCACCTCCAACAAACTGAGACAAAACCCTAGTTTGAGTCAACCTAGATTTCAGGTGACGGTGACAGACAAGTCAGCCTGCAAGAAGCCACCATCTGAAACCAACGTCGGGGAGGGCACGCAGCCTGAGGGACAAGTCTGGCACATCTAGAATAAAGGGCTGGAAAACCGAGGCCAAGAGAAACATTCAGAACAGGATCCAACCAGACTTGCTCCAGGCCATCCTCACGCAGCGCACTTGGCAGGCAAGAGAAAACATCTTCCCCAAAACACCTCCCCTCTATGCCCTGCTCCTGTCCAACCCTCACCCTCCCCATTGGAGCTGCTGCCCACAGGCAGCTCTAGTCTCCTCCTTTTCCCCAAATATCTGCCCGATCTTACTGTGGAAGAGGCAGGAAGGTGCAGGGCTGGGGCTATGAGTTTTGTTTGCTCTGGTTTCCAGACCTCACAGGGTGCCTTTCCCTCCCCCCCAGGACCCGCATCCCGAAGAGCACCCTATGCTTTCAAACTCCATTACATCTCATCTGCATTCCTGCCCGCCAACGGCCCGTGCTCCAGGCTGGGTGCCAGCAGCCGGGCAGCCCCCCTCCTCTCCTTCCTGCGCGCTGAAGAGAGCTGCTGGCATCCAGCAGCTCCCCCCTCCAGCTCCTGGCTTCTTTTCTTCCAAGGGCTGTGTTAACGAGAGCCCGGACATTGCAGAAGCCTTTGTGCTCAGCAGGGCACAGTGATGTCTGGAGCAGAGTCAGTATTTCAAGTGCTCCAAGCGCTCTGCCAAGCGTTTTAGGATTTGGGGTGGCTGCAGCTGGCACCACCTCCCCGGGGAGGCAACCGAGAGCGGGTGGCACCCGGGAAGGGAGGCACCAAACCAGTCCCCTTCAATCCAGCGTGCTGCCTGCCATTGCTCAACCTGGGAGTT